ATATACTCACTAATATTTCAAAATCAACAGAAGCAAATATATGAACCATTTAGTTTACTTTTTTTTATACTATGACAAACCCATAAAATTCTGTAATAGATCTTATTAAAAAATAATGTCTTTTTCCATCTTTACTTAGTTTGAAAAAAAGAAGAAAAGTACTACTAAATCTAAATCTAAAATATATATTTAATTATACTTCGTTTCATAACGTGCTTAAAAGTACATTTTTGATTTTTAAGTAGTTTTTACACAACATTCGAAATGTATTGCAAATTGCCGTAGTAAATCAAGAAACGTTTCAAACATTAGTTATTTAATTAACAATTATAATATGAGTTTTAAACTATATAATTTTTTTGAAAATATGGAATAAAGACAGAGTATTTAATTTTTATGACAAGTAATTTGTAGTGCTAATCTTTGTTCATTTCAAACGAATAAAGATGAATTATAATTGAGCGTAAATATTTTTCTTTGTTTTCCTAATAATTAACATAATACTATCCCGTTACATTACCACGTGATCGGCTTCTCGCAAATTAATCATAATTTGTAATGTGGCGCAACAGCCAAGACGTTATTTATGTTGATAATAAATGGCGAAAATCTCTATTATATGAACTTACATAATAATATTGTTATCACTATTTATGCAATAGCAAACAATGACACCTATGTAATTATTCTCAGGTTGAAATTGAATTCAAACGCCCACTTTAGAAGCTGATAGCAATTAGTAAAGAGCCATTAACAAGACAATGGCAAAATTAAATTTTGCAGCCTCATAATTTTTTCGCCGAAATTCTTCAACCTGTGTGAATGAAAAGGTGTATATCTACGCGTCAGAAAAAAACAACTATTACTTTTTAAGTTCTATGGATCAGTATAAATTATTCATGCACTTCGGGTTAAGTCTACCGGGTAAAAGAGAACGGCGATAAGGAAAGACAATCGGGAGCACCCGCATTTCGATCATTACAAAACAGTTTTCCACGCAGGTTTAGGTTGACGCAACAGACTTTATGTTTGCTTTGCTTTCTCTCCCCCAACCCTCTTATAGACAAACAAGATTTCCAGTGTTACCAACTATATCACCTTATGAAGTGTTTTTCGATATAAATACTTAAATAATAGTTTGAAAATGGCAAGAGAAGTTTCAAATAATAATTGAATTGTAATTGATAAAATGAATCAGTATTTTTTAAAAATAAAATAAATAAAGCAAAACTGTACATGGATTTTTTTGTCATAAAATTTAAATCCTCCTTCTAAAAAATAAAAACATAATGCATGACAAAACCTACTGTTCATACTAGATAGAAAATATAAAAAAAATCGGAAGAAAATTGATATTTCAAATAAATAATCCAAGATAAAAATATAAAGCCCAAAATAATTAAAATATTTCAACCTGAAATAGTATTACAGTGTTCTTCTTTAATCGTCATTTTCTTCTTCAATGCGTATAAAACAAAGATTTACCTTTAAAAGGTAAAAAAATTTCTTTATTATATATTCTTAATATTGTTTATTTATAAACAAAATATAAATGTAAACTTGAAAATTCTTTTAATTTTTTGAAATACCAGAAAATATATATAAAGTAATTTGTTAATTTTTTTTAAAGATTTTAAATGATAATTGTGTTTGCATTTTTTTCAATAAATATAATTTTTAATTTCTAGTAGAAAACTTTTTCTAAAAAAAAGTTGTATACTGACTATACTAAATGTTAAGATGACTGAAAAGTATATATTTATTAAAATGTGTAAGCCACATATTCAATAGTATTTGAATATATATTCTAAATATATTATATTCATTATAGGACTTCGAGTCATTAATAAATTTAAGCGTTAAAATAGTGACTCCTTTTTTTAACAAACCCGTCATCGATGATAAGGGAATTGGTATAGTTTCCGCTTTCGGCAACAAGTTGACGTAATACTTGTTCCGGAAACCTTATAAAATCAAATTCCTTACACATTATTCAATGGTAGAAGGTTATATTTTAGCTCTGGGCCGAATACCAGTCAGAATGGTTGTTTTGGGAATACCAATTAAATAAACTCAAAGACGTTCGACCTGACAAACAAAATCGATCACAGTACAAATGAAAATTTTTCAAATATTAAGTGACATTCATATAGGCATAAAATGAACTAAATTTTTGTGAGATCTAACATAACTTTATTAAATATTAATAAAGTATTAATATTATAATATAAATAAAGTATAAATTAATAACTTAATTTAAATAAATAAATAAATGGTTGTTTTAATAATTCAATTATTAAAAAATAAGTTACGTAAATTTAAATTAATTTTGCGAATATTAAGTTTATTTCTTAAAATGTAATTCTAATTATTTTAAAAATGATTATAAATTATTTATATCCTTGTTTTAGAATGGTCACCACTTTTAAATTATTAAATGTGATGAGCCAAAAATAAAAATTATTAAAAACAAAAATTGTATTATGATAAAATACAAATGGAATAACTCAAAGGATTAAACGTTAACCATAATAAACATTTTGTTAATACAGTTGAGTAATTTATCATACCTTCATGGAGTATGAAATTTGAAATTTGTAATTAACATCCTATATAATTATAATGAAATTTCGATAAAAATAAATAAGTACAAATAAGTATTTGTAGTAATTATTATTATAATAATATTGGTAGTATGTTAAATTAAATTATTTGGTAGTATTTATGAAACAAAATAACTGACATCAATAAACAAAAATATTACTCATTTCGCAATGTGTGTATCAATATAATACATTAATTTATACATAACTAAAGTAGCATAATTAAAAACAAATATTCAATTTATGATATAAAATGTTTTGCAAAGAATTAACTTAAAACAGTATTATAAAAATACATAAACTACACTTGTAAAGTAAAATTTGTATGTAAAAGTTTTATTTATATAAAATGTATTACTTTGTTTATGATTTTCTTAAAATAATTTGGACTTTGAAATCAAAAAAATATATATAACCTATTTTTGCTATTATGTAATTTATTTTTTATTCCAAGCTTCGGCAAGATGTGTCATCATTTGCTGTCACCTAACAATAAAAGATAGCTCATTCCTATCGTTCATATATTTTCTCCTTGTGCAGTAAGTATGCGGCTTTTTAAGTCATTCGTTTACATTAATCATACTTAAACTTAAATCATGTATCACATACGCAAATGATTATTATACTTCTAATGGTGTACTATTCATTTGATACTTTACATGCCAAATAAGTGAATGGAAAACAGAATTTTTATATTAATTTTACTCTCATTTATTAAATTTATAGTTTACTGTTTCGGTTTTGGTCCAACAATTATGTGCTTTACTTGTGTTTCTATAAAGTTTTAACTCCTCGAACTTAATATTTTAAATGTACTACGTACAAGTAATTATATTTCTTATATTAAAAAATATCATACAATACATAAATATTCAAAAATCACTTTTTCATTTATACAAAAAATATACTACTGAAAATACGATTTCATCATGTTGATTTATTTATACTTGTAATTTTATTTCAAATTAGATTCCAATTATAAGTATTATAATTTTTAAGAGATCTTTTTAATTTACACTTGTAGTAATATGATTAAACATTTTTTTTCCCTAAAAGTCTTTAACATGGTTTATTTTATATTTAAAAATGCTGATCTTTATATGTGTAACTATCATATTTATTGTAAGTTTGAAATTAAAACCTGTGCATTTATCAGATAAAAAAATTTGTTTTACAATTACTCCACTTCACTCAATTAGGATTTCAATTTTTAATTTTTTTGTTCACTTTAAAGGAAACTAAAACTTTTATGTTTGAATAATATTACTAGATTTTTTTTTATTTTAATTTACTCCGAACTTTGATATTTTTTTTTTATTTAATCATAACTTCAACAAAAAATTGCGCATAATTATTTTAAAAGCGACATTAATCCTCAAAAAAAAAAAGTTGTAGATTTCATAAGAGGAAAGAAATATGATCCAGTATTTTTATAATTCTAATAATTAACATTACGGCAATAAATTACGTATAAAATTAGACCCTAAGTAATTATAGTACTAAATTTAACAACAGATACATAATGATAGAAAAAACAATTTCAATTGTTTATAAACGTTGGCAGAGGTTTCACATAAGAACGAAAAAAATGTTACATGTTCCTTAATGATTGCAGTTATAAAACTTCTATAATAACATTAGCTAGAAGACCTACACATTTTCCAAGGGCTTCATTAATATTAAATATCTAACGTAAATCGTTTCATCAAGTAAAGTAAGAAGATAATTTCAAAACTATTTTCATGTAAATATGACTTAAGCTTATAAAATATGTATGAATAAAAATATAAGCATGGTCATAGTTTAAAGAATATTGATGATTTCTTATAATTTTTTCATGTAACCCTTCATCTAGTAATCTTAAAAATAAACAGAAAATTTTTAAAATAATTATTTTGAGGGTGAATTTTCCTCTATTATATTCCCTCAAACGCGACTGAAATAACAAATTTACTAGTGACATTGAGAAAATTACTAAAACACAGCATTATTAAACTTAAATTTTTAAATAATTGTTCACTATATAATCATAAATAATAAACTTAGAAGCATATTACCAAAAGTATATACATTTATAAATGTTTATAAAAATATACAAAAAAATATCTAAAAAATATACACAAACGTATATTAAGGAAATTTCGCTTATAAAATTAATAATAAATATGCATACACTAATAATAGTATAATATTCTTAAAGACTATTTATAATTAATATGGAAATTAAATTTTCTGTTTTAAAAAAACATAAATTAACTTAATTAAAAAATACTTTTACGCTAAACCTAAATATTTTGTGCATGCAACCATATCATCCCTAACAATTCTTATAAGTGTATTTGACCTACGTGCATGGACAAATAAATTACTTATTATGTTTAAGTTTTAAAGACTTACGATGGATGATCGTTGAAACGAATGTGTCCGGCGGTCGTCAGATGGCCGGAGACGACGACGAATAGTGTGTAATTGTTGTTTCGTGTGTGTACGGCGTCCACTGAACACTTGTTGCGGGCGGGGACGGAAAGGGTGGGACGAACGAAAACGGCGAGATGTCCACTCGTCGGTTTGACTCGGCCGGTACGCGACAACTACCACAACGGCGCGGGTACCCAAAAGCCGCTGACAACTCTACGGCGGTAGCGGACGGACGCCTCGTCGCCGGCAGATAGAGCTTCAAAGGGCAACAACGTTGACTTCAGCGTATAACCATCACATCCTCTGCTTCTTATTATCACTTGCCTCCACTCTGCTGTTGTCGCCTCTTAGGTATTTTTCCGAGTGAAATTTTCATTTGTCGTAATTGCTTAATTACCAAGAGGGCTTATACTTCCATACTTTAACTACCATAAATAACAAACTCCCATTGTTAATTTATTTTTTTTATTATGACTATTTTCCACGGTTTATAGCAAAGTATACCACCAGGGTCTGGTCTATTTTTAATTCTAGGCATTTATGAACCAAACTACCCCTTTAACATAATATATAATTTTTAAAAACTAGTTCAAATGTTGTTATCAGTCAGTCATTAGCTTAGTTAGATCATTTTCTAATCTGTAATTTGATTAAAAATATGTCTCCATTTAAAAACAAAGTTGATACTATTTTAAAAGAAGATAGCATACATTTTTTTTTAACACGCTTATATTAGTTTCACATGTATGTTGTTTGTTTGTTTGTTGTATGTTGTAAGTTTGTAATTTAAATTATAGAACGAAACTATTATTATCTGAATTAAAATTATATCATGTTTTATATTTTTAAAGATATTGTTTGAACCGTAGTTAAACAATCACCATTTTAATATATCATTAATGTTATTATATATTATATTATTAATATACATAATTATACTAATGATGACGTCACGCAGGCAAATGAAAAATTCTTAAAATCCATTTACTTTTATTTTCAGGTAATTGTTTTGTTGGCTATAAGTGAGTTACGATACTCATGAATTTTACTAATTCACTAGTAAATATATAATACTAGAAATGATGTAGACGAAAAAATAAAACGCTAGATCACTGAAAATTTTCTCTTCAATAATTTGGTAAAAATTTATACATATCAAATAAAGTCCCGCGAAAAACATGTTTGTAAATGTTTTTCTGTTTAGCATCCTCTTAAATTGCTTTTTGATTAATCGAAAAAATTTTATTAGGTAATTTTACTATTTAAAAATTAAAGTAAAACGATACACTATTTTGAGATCGTTTTTATTAATTTCAATCTTCAGACACATCAGCTTAAAGTATAATAAAATTCTTAATATTTCAGTATAAATTATAGATTAAATTTTAGCCTACACGTAAAAAGTAATTACTATTACGGTTCACGGAGATTATACGTCTTGTGAATATTAAAACTGTCGATAGGGGAAATGTTTTTATAAAATATACCTCATAACAAATAGCTAATGTAATTGCGTGATATTTATAGATTAGATTAGTCGCCGATAATAAAAAAAAATTATAACCTCTGCAAAAACAAAAGCATAATTATTGTGATAACATTCCAATCCAACTTAAACTATATGTTTAAATAAAATATTATAATATATTTGACCTACTCCGAATGTTTTTAGTTCAAATATTTATTCTTGTACAATCTTTTCAAGTAATGATGCAAAATATTTTTAAACAAATTATGAATTATCAGCATAATTTAAGCAAATTTTCAGATAAAGGAAACCAAGTTTTTGTCAATACTATTTAAATGTCGTAAACTTTGGATTGGTAAAACATATTTTTTTTTTTAATGGACCATTAATTAAAAAAGGTTTTTTTATTATTTTTAAAAATTAAACTTAGTTAAATTGTTAGAAAAAGTGTTTACAATTTTTTTTATTATGTACCAGCTTAATTTTAGGAGGACAATAATATACTTCTACGACACTAAAATTAAGATTTATCTATAAAATATGTTGTAGATAAATTGCGTGAACACAATTTAAACTTGCAGAAAAATATTAATAGCAAAAATAAAAGGGAAAAAAAGTTGTAGATTCCGCTTATGTCTTTAACTATTATTTAGCTTCAATATTAAAAAACAGATCTAAAAATAAAAATATTTAAGGAAAGATTTTAAAGAGACAAATATTTTGTTCCACCCTAACTTTGATATAACAACCCAAACTTATTATATTATGGTTAATAATTCAATCACTAAGTTTGTAACTTTTATTCAAAACTTAAGTAACATTTTGTCATTAAAAATACTGATTTACATCCATAAAAGTCTTATAATTCATCCTATAATTCATTGACACTCACAAGTTAATTTTGTCGTAGGAGGTTTTTGGTTACAATAATGATTCAAGGAATTTTATATTTATAACCTACTTAATTTTGTAACAAACTGCCATAGAGCAAATTTATAACCTACTCAATACTACTTAATAACTAGTAATACATAGGGTATATAACTAATTAACTATTAGTTATATATATTTATATTTTTAATAGTATTATTATATTTACTAAAAAATGTTTGCATTGACTGTAGGATTATGACCCAGGTATAACATTTTCATCATCTTAAATTAATTGTTTCATTATATTTAATAATTTACTGGATAAATGATAGTATTATGGATAAAATGGACTTAAAAGTTATTTCTCGAATGCAGGTAAACTTAAAAATCACTAGCAAGGTTCAATAAAGTTACACTAGTAGAATATAGCGGTGTTATGAGGTATAAGGGACGAAATTAAAAAAAAAATGAGAGAAACATTGAATTAAAAGTTGCAAAGAAAAAATTATTAATATTATTTTTATTTTTTGATTAATTTAGTGTTTCATGATAAGTGAATCACTCTATATGTTATATCAATTTAATACAATATATTGAATTTTTAGTAATATTCATATAATTTAAATCATTACCTTATAATCGAGAAAATTGACGTTTTCATAAATGCTAGAATTAAATTAAATGGATTCTGCTAATTAAACAAAAATAGAGAAGAGCATTATAATTTTATTCGACACCGTGTCAATGTTAAAAATAACTGCCATAATTATTAAATTTAAATAATTATGCGTTCATGACAATATATTACTATTATATAAGACAACAACGAACTATTAATACGCATTATTTATTACATCTTACCATTGGTCAAACCATCATAACGTGTACATTAGGGCGCTTTATTCCAAGAAAAAATTAATCAAAAATGTTAACCATTACATTCATAGGTCTAATATTTTCAATTTTTTTTTGTTGCCCGATAATAATTAAATTTAAACTGTATAACATACTATAGTTTTATTTTGAACTTGCATTGATTTAAAATTACTAATGTTTTAAATTTGGTTAATAATGTTATTGGTTTCAATTTTTTTTATAATATGATATTATAAAATTATTTTTATTTATTTTTATTTTCAGTTAGAATAAAAAAAAAATTACATTTATTAATAATTATTATTTATCGTAAATATTACTTTTGTTAATCACTTAATGTATATTTATGTATAAACATGTTTTGATATTCGTAGATTAGAAAAGACTTATAATGCTTTAAATTAATCAGGCCTCACAAATATTTTTACAACTTATGACCTCAAAAATACAAATTTTGGGACATATAGGTTATAACGTTGAAACATAAACCACATTCTCCAAATAGCAATTTTAAAAAATAATGTATAAAAACATGTTATAGAATATTCTGTCGTTTGTTTATAATGTGATATCCTGAAGAGTTATTATGTACCTCTATTTTTAACATGTTACATATTATCTTAGTTTTAAAAATAATGCTATCAATCGTTATCTGTATAATGATAAAATAATAAACGAGGTATTCAAATATTTAACAACTAATACTTTATGCGTTTTTTTAACTATTATTAGATTAAATAACACTAAGTCATGGACATAGGTGAACTATTAGATTATAAGGTACTTCTAGTTTTATTAGTTTTGTTATTACAGTATTAATTAGAATCATGGTTAATTCTAGCCGGCTAACACTCCAAAGCGACCATTACCTGAAGAAGAAGTTAATCAAATTCAAGAAAATGAATCAGATTATGAAAGACAAAAAAAATTAAGACGTCTTGCAAAAGCTCGAGTTCAGCAAATTGAAAAACAAGAGCAAGAACGATTGAAAGCAGAACAGGAAAAAATTGCTGATGAAGAACGAAGGAAACTAGAACGACAAGAAATGGTTCAAAAGTTAGTTGATGAAAACTTAGGCGATTCTAGTGTAAGTTTTTAATTATGACTGTAAAAAAATAATAAGTAGCTAATTATAATAATGAATTTTGATAATTAATAAAGAAAATTAATGGTTATACAAGTCTGCAAAATTTGGAAATAAAAGAAGGTATTTCTTTTACTATAATTTTTAATTTTGAATACTTATATTATATTTTCATTTTAAACTAAGTTTTCATAAAGACTTTAAAATTTCCTAGTAAAAATCTTAAATATAATAAAAGTTTATCACTCATGGCTAATATTATTTAAAAGAAAAAATATATTTAAAATATTAGTTTTAAATCAAAATCTTAAATTTTACTTGAATCGTATTAAATTTTGAAGTCATGTATCTATCAGATTTTGTCTTTTCAATATGAAACTGAACGAGATTGAATTTTAACTACTACATCTTCTAATGCTTTTATGAAATTTCTTTAGTTATACATTTTTTTTATGACTGGGTATGGAAATTGTTTAAAAATTATCTGATAAAAATTATTAAAGGTAATATATTGAAAATTTAAACATGTTGAAACTTTGACAATTTTACAAAGCCATGGCAAATTTATAAAAAAAATACTTTCAAGTAATATTTTTTATTACTAAAACAGTTTGTTGGATTAATGATAAATAACAATAAAAAAATCATTAATAAGTTAAATAGTTTAACTCAATATTAAGATAAACTTTGAAGTTAATATTAAGCCTTATTTATTTTATATTTAGGATGGAATTCTAGATGAAGGTGCTTTAAAGAAAATGATTTTATTATTTGAAAAAAAAGTTCTGAAAAATCAAGAAATGCGTATTAAATTTCCTGAAAATCCTGAAAAGTTAGTACTATATACAGTTTAATTTTTTTGTATTACTTTACTAATTGAATTAATCTTAGGTTCATGGAATCAGAAATTGAGTTACATGATATTATAACCGAAATGCATGCTATTGCAACAGTGCCAGATTTATATCCAGTTTTGGTAAATTTAAAAGCAGTTTCTTCTCTATTAGAATTACTATCGCATGAAAATACTGATATAGCTGTTGCAGTAGTCAATTTAATACAGGTAAATAGTTGAAACATAGTACGTTTTAACTACAATATTATTTACAAAAGGTAAAACCCAACCAAATCAGCACAGTGAGGTCACGGCACAGTCGGGAAGTGGTATTAGTTGGGTCAAGTATAATGATATCTGACAGTGATTAAAATCGCTATCATAAAATACGCTTCAATGGAAATCTGTAAATAGTGTTTAATTTTAAAAAATTGGTGGATTATTCCAAAAGCTATATGATCTCTTATTATTGTGATCTTTTGACATATCGTTGAAAGAAATCGGTTCGGTGAGAGCTCAGTAAAGGTGGTGACAGACACAAAAAATAAAAATAACAACACATCATAGAAAAACTAATACCTTCTCAGCTTCTTATCGAAGCTAATTATTTAATACAAAAATTCATTTATAATAAATATATATTTATAAAAAAAAATTACTTTAATCGGAATAAGTTAAACATGTATATTTGGGATCTTATTATCCAATAGGTATTATAGGACTGTGCTTAGGGTCTGCAAACATATTTTGAAGACTTTAATTTTTTTAGTAAAAAAATGTCTTGACCTGAATTTTAGAAGACTCAAAAAAAAGATTTCTATTAGTGCCTAATGCCTACAAATAGCTTAATCAGATTCTGTATATAATTTGTTATAATAATAAAGTTTAACACATTGAGGTGTTACGGATTTTTTTATGGATTGAGTTTTTATTTAAGAAACTTTTTTTACCCCTTCATTTATAAAACATTTACTTTTAACACATAATTATTGCCATTATGAATAGTGTTAACCTCTATCTTCCTCCTGGGCATTTCTTTGTTTTTTTTGGTGTATTATTATCTAAAAAATGAAACACTAAACATTGAATAATTTAAATTTTTTAAAGGAGTTAACTGATATTGATACACTTAATGAAAATGAAGAAGAAACTGAAATATTAATAGATGCATTGCTTAGCAAACAAATATGTGCTTTATTAGTTCAAAATTTAGAGCGAATGGATGAATCTGTTAAAGAAGAAGCAAATGGTGTACACACTACATTAGGCATTTTTGAAAACATTATGGAACTAAGGCCAGATGTTGTAATTGATGTTAGCAAGCAAGGACTTACTCAATGGTTGTTAAAAAGAATTAAAGCAAAGATGCCTTATGATGGAAACAAATTATATAGTAGTGAAATATTATCAATAGTATTACAAAATAATGAAGAGAATAGAGCAATGGTTGGAGAACTTGGAGGTATAGATATACTACTTCAACAATTAGCTGTAAGTTATTTAGAATTATTTTCTTTAATTTGAAAATTCCCTTTATTTTCTAAAAAAATAATTATATTAAGTAAACTGTATTAAAAAATGTGTTAAACATTTCTTATTAGTATTATAAAAGGCATGATCCTGCATCATCTGATGAACAGGAGATGATGGAAAATTTATTTGATTGTTTGTGTTCCTGTCTCATGAATAAACAAAATAGAGATAGATTTCTAAAAGGTGAAGGTCTTCAATTGATGAATTTGATTTTAAGGTATTCAAATTACTTAATTAATCTAGTAAATCCTAAACCAATATTATGTTTACTATTTTAGAGAGAAGAAATTAAGTAGAAATGGTTCATTGAAAGTATTAAATCATGCTTTATCAGGCCCTCAAGGAAAGGAAAATTGTAACAAATTTGTAGATATTTTAGGTCTTAGAACAATATTTCCTTTATTTATGAAAACACCAAAGAAAAATAGAAAGAAGATGCTAAGCACTGAGGAACATGAAGGTTTATTAGTTTATTAAATTAAAAAATAATTTAATTAAAAAAATGGCTGGTTGTTTATAATTATTCATCTATTATATCAGAATTTATTACCATTTTACATATAAAATTGAGGTGAGGTACGGGCATGACAATAATTATTATTAAACATTTCTCAGCTGCAACCATCCTCATGCCTGTTTTTAAAAATGTTAATAACTTTCGATTTAATACACAGGAGTCCAAAATGCAATTTTAGCTAGACAAAATTAATAAGAAATTTTTTACATAATATATCAAAGTATGTTTGAAAATTGGTAAATTTGGTATAAAAAAAAACTGGCATATAATTATTTGAAAAAGTTTGTTAATAATAGTATAGTAAATTTTTGATTTGCATGTTATTTCTACAACTCTCACATCATACTAACATTGTTGTCATTTTATTTCAAAAATAGTATTATGAATGAATGAGACAGATACTATTAATAAAATAAAAATTAAATAAATTAATAGTTAATTCAAAATTAACTTTATTAAATTAAATGATTAATAATATTTAAGTTATTATTAATGTTTAGATTAATTTATTAATAAATAATTATTTTCGCACTGAAAGTTCACTTTAATCCACATTGTTTTATTTTAAAGCTTGTGAATTGTACTATATGATGTATATACTTGCTCAGAGTAACTAAAAGTAAATAAAATATAATGATAAATTTTATCATGTTTAATAAATGAATTTATCTCAAGATATTAATCTTATAGTATTCTTAAATAATAGTATAAATTTAACAAATTCAATATTTGATCATCTACTGTGTAAAACTTATTGATAAAAACAAATTGAGTATTTTTAATGTTTTATCATAAGTAAGATTTTTATTAATTGATCATGAAAATATATATTTATGAGTAGTAAATAAATATATTACATTAATAAATAAAATTAAAAACTTAGTTTTAGTTAACTAAGGTGAGAACATTTTTTTAAGCTATAATCTTTATTTATTTTAAAAGCATTAATGCTGTGAGTTAGACTGTTGGCATAATGACTCTAAATGTTTAGCAATCTCCCCACTTTCTCTTATCATACTGAACTCGTATACCTATAGTGTATGTTAAAAGTAAGGTAAATATAAGTAAAGATAAAATTTAAATAAAAGCTTGGAAGAATGTGAATTATAAATTGTGTTTGAGTTACTTTAAAGGGTCCCAAGTTTATGCAACATTGCCATATGATTGTATAGTAATGCAGAAATATTTGTGACTTTAGGAGGTTAATCTTCTTCCCCTCTCACCAAACGTTATAACATCAGAAAAAATATATTACTAAGTTTTCAAGTCAATTAATAAACATTTGTACTGGATGATAATGTGTTTAAATTAACCTAACTAAATTTATAAATGCATGTAATTCACAACCCTGTTGATATTACACTATTTTTTTTTTTTTTTTTAGCAGATTTTTAGTTCTATTTTTTTAATTAATTATTTTGTTAGATATATTTCTTGATTTATCAGCTATCAATTGCTTTTTAGAATCAATTATCTTATTGGGTTGTAAATATTTTTTCAATTACAACATACATAATTAATTAGATTTTAATAGATATAATTATTTAATAGATTATATGATTATCTGATCATATAATTAAGAAAATGACTTTTGGACCAGTATTTTGGAAATTCTCATTATTGTACCTAGGTGGGAGGAAGAGTACATCTGAGAAATGACTAGTGATAAAAATAACAATATCCATCTCACCTCTAACAATCACTAAAATATATTAATGAATTCTGAAGTATAATTTTAGGAAGTAGCAATTATTTGAATAAGTCAGGATTAGGTCAGTTAATAATAAAAAAATGAGTTTTAGTTCAAATATTAGTCTAAGTTTTTGACCTATATTAATATATATGTATATGTATTTTTTTTTTGAAAATAAAAATTATCGGATAAATTTTTTTTAATGCAATAAAATATTGACTAATATTTTGATGATTTTATTTATTAAAAATATTTTTTAGATATTGAAATTGATTATAAAATGATAAATAAATTTCCTTGCCTAGCTTTTAAAAATAAATATTTTAAAAATGGCAATAAATTAATTTTTAATTTGATAAACTGACATTTGAGAAAATGAATACTAAAGTCAATTGAGTCAGGTAGTAACAGAGATAAATTCAAATAAAAGATAAGTTCTTAAGAAAACTGTCATCGAAGCATTGATAAATTATTTTTTAATTATAGACTTATCAAAGTATCATTGCCAGTTGGCATATAAACTTATTTCTATACTGTGAGTTACAAGAGAACACAACTGAGTAATATTTTTAGTTTAAGCTATTGGCTAGTTAAATTACATAAAATATTAATACTAATAACATTTTGTAATATTAAAAACTGCTAAAAAATATTTAACCAAAGAACAAAATAAATATACTAATTGAAACTTGAAAGTATTCTTTTTTATAACAATAATTATACACTTTAATCAAAATTAATATTCATGTTAAATTGGTAAGCATTCTAAATTAGACTTTTAAATAGTGAGCAATAAATAAAATATACATATTTTTTAAATTAGACTTAAGAATTAGTATACATTTTTGAAAATAGATATATTTAAAATGAACTATTTGACATCATATTTAAATTATGTAAAATTCTTAATTATTATTATTATTTATATGTGTAAAAAAATTTCAGAACATGTTGTGTCAATAATTGCTAATATGTTGCGTAATTGTCGAGGCACACAAAGACAACGTCTTCTAACAAAATTTGCTGAAAATGATATGGAAAAAGTTGATAGACTAATGGAGTTACACTTTAAGTATATGGAAAAAGTGGAAGAAATTGATGTAGATATTGAAGAAAAGGTATTTAAAATAAAAAATGTTCAGTATTTATATGAATTAATTCTTATAAAATAATTTTTAGAATGAGGAAGATGAGGATGAACTATATCTTAAACGTTTAAATGGGGGATTATTCATTTTACAATTAATTGATTATATTTTGTTGGAAGTTTGCAATAGTGGACCCAGTATTAAAAAAAGAGTAACACATATATTGAACATGAGAGGTGGTACTTTGAAGACCATCAGACAAATAATGAGAGGTATTTTTGACTAAAATTTAATTATCTATCGCTTGGACTGCTTCCAATATTTCTTAAAATCTTGTATTATATCCTAAATAACTTAGCATCATTTTTTTTAATTTACAGAATATGCTGGTAATCTAGGTGATGATGGAGACAAAGAATGGCAAGAACAAGAGCAACGTCATATTTTAAAAATGGTGGACAAGTTGTAATATTACTATAACTACTGTATATAAAAACTGTGTTTACTAAAAATTAATAAATTATAATTTGCATGTAATTTTTAATACTATTATAAAAATAAAATGTATTCTTAACAAAATAGAGTATTCTATTCGAAGTTCTATAATTTTATATTACGATACAAACCTACATTTTTATTTTAAAGATAGTTAAATTATACTTGAAATAAAGCACAAGAATTTTTTACTTTGGTCGTTGACATTAAAAGAAATAGAATGAAATACATGAACGTGAATAAGTTGATTACTTAAGTGCTTAGCAAGTATGTCAATTTTTTAAACAACCAAGTAGTATTACTTATTAAATTTAAACTAATTTGATTAAAACCATGTATAAGAAAAGTTATAAAATATAAGTAATTTAAACAAAAATATTTACTTCCATTACCTCTATACTTCTATTTTAACTACAAAACTATAAGTCACAGATAAACGACTAAAGATAATGACTTTGCTCCTCAAATTTACAATATACAGTAGTATGAGCAATTATAAGATATATTTGGAAAAATTCGAATTGGTGGTTCTAAGTAGCCAAGGTGAATTATGATAAACTTGCAAACATTTTTAAAAATAGATATATATTTATTTTCAAATAGTAACTAATTATAACAAAATGAAATTCTCATTAACTTTTTTAACCATCAAAATATTAATAAATTAAGTCGAATCCCAAATTCTATGGTAATTATCTAATATTTCTGAATGAAGTTTATCTTCAACTAACATAAAGTAACCCTGGATTTGAGCTGCACTAGCAGGTTTTCCTGCTTTAGAAACAGTTTCAGCAAAATTCTTAGCTAATTGATCGTTATTAACACAATCTAAGAAAAATCGTTTGTACATTCTCTCAATTTGAGATTTAGAACAATGCCCAATAAATTCTTTTACGTCAATTCTTCCAGGACGTATCAATGCAGGATCCAGCCTTAAATAAAATATAAATTAAATTATAAAATTTGTTAAATTAAAAAATAGTTGAACTAAAATGGAGAGTTTGATACAAAAATAAAATAGTTCAATTTTTAATGCATTGGAAGTATACATAAAAAAGGCACAAGGGAAAAATGGTAATAGTCCATTTCTGTACATTTTTCAGTAGAGCAAAAATAAACTCCTATATTTTTAATAGGAAAATAAAACTAGACACTTAAATGTTAAAAAAAATAAAACTATTTTCAAAATATGGATTTTATTACTTGGTGCAACTGCTAATGGGCAATCAATCAAATTATAAAAAATGGACTTTTTAACTTGAATTGGAAAGACATTTTTTTTATTATACGGAGTATTTGGTCTCATAAAATCATTCAATTACTCGTAAAATAAATACAATATTGAAAAAAATTATTTTTTTAGTTCCATATATTTCTTGATTTATCAGCTATTAATTACTTTTTAAAATCATTCCTTATGGTTTATAAGGGCGCCAACTCTATTTTTTTTTTAATAGAAACATGCATATCAATGGTAAAGAGCACACATATGGTAAATACACATTTATGCCTTTTTAAAGAGACATTCAAAGATCACATATAAGATATATACTAGAGTAAATATAACATCTGATCACAGCATAATATAACTTCACAAGAGTATTTTGAACACCTCATTCGTGCACATGAAAATTCACAATATAAAATTTAATAGCTTATAAAATAAAAAATCATTTAATATAACAAGAGTTAACAACTCTTGGACTAGTACTTCATAAGATATTCTCATTTTTATACCTGACCAGTAGAAATAATATGGTCAGGAAATGACTAGTGACAAAAATATCAACATCTGATCTTACTTCCAACTTTCACTATAAAATGTTAATAACTTCCTAAAATTATACTTCCAAATTTATTAACAATTTTTAGTGATGAATAGAGGTGAGAAGAAGGTATTGTTATTTTTATCACTAGTCATTTCTCAGTTGTACTCTTTCTCTCACCTAGGTACAATAATGAGAATAATTTCCAAAATACTGGTCCAAAAGTTGTTATCAACCAGTTATTTTCTTAGTTAGATGATCATCTACTAAAATCTAATTACTAATTAATTATGTATGTCATTTGAAAAAAAAAAGTTTACATCCCAATAAGATAATTGATTCTAAAAAATAATTGATAGTTGATAAATCAAGAAATATACCTAACAAAAAAATAAAAATTTTTTTTAATATTGAATTTATTTTGTGAGTGATTAATGATAAACTGATCACCTTGTATACCAGAAAATATTATATACATGCATTTTTTATCAAGTTTTTTAAAACATAAAGTTACAAATACTATTGTACTATTTGAAACATATAAATCCAATTATACAAGTCCAAAATATAAAAATTTATTAACAATTTTCTTAAAATTTGAAAAAATGGAACTACTTTCTTTAAGCAGGAAATTCTTCAAATTATTAGTTATTTTTAAATTTGTAGGAAAATTTAACATTTAAGTAATTAATTTTAAAGCAAGTGCTGAATATTAAAGAATGTTAAATGTTTAAAATAACTTTCACAATAAGATTTACCTATCAATAAAGTTAGTTGTCATAAAGAGTATTCTAGCTTCAGATGAAGCAGCTCCATCAAGAGCATTCAATAAACCACTAAGAGTAACCCGACTAAGTCCATCATATGCAGCAGTAACTAGAATGGTATTAAGTATTATTAATATAATTAATACACAGCTATTAATATGTAGCAAAATACTTTGTTTTGATTCATGTCTTCCGCCAAAAGCTGCATCAACATCTTCTAGTAATATAATTGTACTTTGAGGAGCAGCAGACATTAAATAATTGAGCCGATCATCAGTAAGGCCACGTTCACTCAAATTTAATAAACATACACCATACTGTAATTCACCAGCTAATGCTTTAATAAAGGAAGTTTTCCCACATCCTGGAGGACCATATAATAAATAACCTCTTCTATAAGGTATACCACGTTCAATATACCAATATGGTTTATTTATAAATTTTTGAACATCTTTCAGAATACGTTCTGAGACACCATCTTCTAAAACTACTGATGACAATGGTCTAGGTTTTTGAGGATGACCAAACGGACGCCATTCAGATCCTAAGGCTGTATACACAATTGTACGACCTTCCATTGTTTTTAAGGCCATTTGCCGAGCTACCTGACAAATTAACAACATGTCAACACATTAATATTGAGTTAAAACAGTTTAAAATTTCACCTTCTTCTAAAATATTTTTAAATAATAATTTATCTCTTCCAAAAGCAGTTAAAACAACATTTTCCCATGGGACCCCAGCATGCAGGTCAAGTGATTGTTGTTCTCTTGTGCGAGTAACTTGAATAAACTTTCCCTGATACCTGTAATTAAATTTTATGGATAACAACTAATAAAATCCATGTTGGAGCATATAATGGTATTTATAAATTTAATTGCAGTTTTGACAAATTTTATATTGAAAAAAGAAACAAATATTTTAACTTAAGTGTTTTTTATATCTATAAAGGACACATTATAAAATTTAAATTGAAAAAACAAATCCTAATTCTATATTATCCAAATACGTTGTGGAGAATAATCATAATATTATTTAAAATTAGCTTAATACTTAATTATAATATTATTTATTAATATCATGATTATTAATGATATTTTAATATTAATAATAGTATAAAAATGTATATTTATATTATCATAATATTAGTTATATAATAAATAAAAACTTAGAAATTTTGAAGCCCCAAAAAACTGTTTGTTACTTAAGTTTTAAAGGAATTGCATATCTGTAGTTAAAAATAATAATATTGATAATAACTTGAACATCCAAACAGACTTTAAAAATAATGTTCTTTTTCAGTATTTATTTAATAAATATTAAATAATTAAATATCATAGAAGTATCATAGAGTAAATATTCATGTTTACAAAAATCAATATTTATTTCTATACTTTTTAATAATGTCACTTGCAGTGTTTTCCATGTACTTGTCATAATTTATTACTGTTGTTATATGTATCCATGTATTAGTTTATTCTGTATCTAATCGTTTTAATTAGTGATGGGCATAAACGAATGATTTCGATAATCGAATGATTAGTAATCGAGACATTTTCATAATCGAGTGAATCTCTCGAAGTTAAAATCGTCTGCTTGTATGATAAGAATAATCAACTATTATTATTTATCGAGAGAATCGAAAAATTATTCGAAATATGAATAAATATACCTATAGTAAATAATTATTAATTTAATTTTAAATAATTCTAATTAGAATAAGTTTCTAATACTAAAAATACAACAAAATGTGAAGAAAATTGTGAGTATTAGAAGCATACTTCTATATTTTCTTGAAATAATGGAACTGGAATAATAGCTATATGTATTTAAATTTCACTACTTAGTATCCACTATAAGATTTAAACAATTTTTATTTCTATTAATATGGGTCTATTGTGATTGAAGAAGAAATATACACCAAATTTAATGAACACCTCCATTATCAAGCAAATGGATAATATATTAATATCAAATAAATTTCCCATAATCCTACTAAAAAATTTAACATAAATAGCCAAAGTATAAACCAAAATAAATAAGTTTAAAAATTAAACCAATAAGTAACACTAAGGAGTTAAGAACTTAAAAAATCAAGATTATGATAAAGTTATAAAATTATTATCAACAAAAATATTAGTATTTTACTCTATAAGGTGTACTCCAATGCTTGGCAAAAAGTGATATGTTGTATTAACACGTCCTGTGTCCATTTGCTCAAATGTTGTTTCAACGCTTAAATGTTGAGTACGTCGAGCTGCTTTTTGAGTAATCCACAATAATACCCACTGGTAACTCTTGTCACGACATGGCACTTCTAATGTCATCATAAAGTTTCTTCGGAACAAAATAAGACCAGTTGCTGCACCTTTCCTTAATAGAGCAGCTCCAACACCAAGTCCAAAAAGACCAAAACCCGCTCCAAAATACGGATTATCCCCCAAAGACGAAAAGACGTCGGCCAACGGCATATTTAAAAAAATTCTAAATCTCAATGAAGTGAGAACATTTTAATCAATATAATCAACCGTCTGTACGTTCAGGACAGTTATTTCGTAACCAACATCAAGATATTATCTTTTTAGTGTATCATTCCTTGAATAGTTAAAATTTATAAGTAAACAACTCTAATTTTCTAGCAATCGTTTTTAAACTTTTCAAAAGCTAACTTTTTGCTGAAAAAAACGATGGCCTTTTAGGCATATTGACCGGAAACGGGTCGTGTTTGGGAACACATGACCGACATACGTTTCCGCCCGACGGGAAACTCCGCGCACCGCTCTTCACCAGCATTTGTTTTTCTCTCTTTATCGCACCTCTATCTCGCTTTGTCGTTCACGCGCGCGCTCACCCGTCCCGTCTCCCGAGCATTTCGCATGAATGGGAACGCTTTTCGGAAGGAAGGACACACAAACCATGAATCAATTACTTTTTTGAATGAAACGTCGTTGATGAATTGGCGGCGGACGTGCACCGGGTTTGCGCGAAATGACGATGGCTGAGGGCAAGCCAAGCTTCAGGGTTGTCGAGAGGCTTAAGATCAAAATTGGTGAGTGTTTCTTATACCAAAATATTTGGGGCCATTTTTGATATCTATGGTCTTATCCGGGCGACTGGTTGCTCCTACACACGGGGATCTGTTAACCCAATTTTCGTTTAGAACTCATTTTTATTATTTTTTATATTAAGGTGATGCAAAGAATTTGGGTAAGGGACATTCATCACTTAAAGACGGACATTGTACAATCACTCTGGATCAGGAAGAGATATTCCGTACAGCTACTATCGAGAAGGCAATAAGGTAAGTTGTTGTGAGATATTTAATAATTTGTAAGAAGTTGTATTGTTTAATCATGATATAGAGGGTAACATATTAGTTGAAAATATTTGATAATTTCTTTTTTAGATTCATAAAATATATAAAAAGCAAATATCTTATTAGTTGTCTCATGAATTTAGTATTCGTCAAACATATATATATTTATATCAGTGTATTTAAATTACTATTATTATTATTTATGATTCTTGATTTTTGAATAATTTTTATTTTCCTTTTTTAATTAGTTATTTTAATCAAAATTAAATCATATAACTGTTTGTTAATTCATAGTGATAAGAAAAGAATGTTTATTAAATTTTTAGTTGTAAAAGAAGTTAATGGAAAATTATTTCATGAGTATGATCATTTTTAACACCTAATAGATAATCATATTTATTTTATGTTTAGTCCGTTTTGGGGTGAAGAATTTGAATTTGAAATTCCTCGTCGTTTCCGTTACCTGGGTGTATGTGTATATGAACGGGATAGACCTCTTGGTAGAGTAACAGTTAGACGTGACCAACTGACATCATTCAATGATAAAGATCACTGGTTTCCTCTAAGACCTCTTAATGTTGAATCTGAAGTCCAGGTAAAAAAAGTTATTTTTTAGAGTTTTCTTTATTATTAATAATATATAAAAGTTGAAATGAATTTTTATAATTATTTCAAAATTGAATAGTAACCATTTCAAAGATATATGATAAGAGTACCAATTATGAACTCTTTAGTATCGTGGCCAATTGATATTTGATCATTAAATCATAAGTTATTCGTAAAGCATATTGATTCAATAATTTTTCTTAAATATTTGTAATACAAATAAATTTAATGGATTTAATGGTAAAAAGTAGTACAGTGGACAAAACCGGTTCATTCATCCTATTGATGTTATGGGAAACATGTAATGTTATGGACAGTTCACTGCGGGTATTATTCAAATAAAATTATATTCATTTTAATGGTACAAATTATGTCCACTTCTATAAATTAAGGAATTAATATATTAGATTATTAACAGCATTATGTTAAACTTTAAAAAAATGTTCTATTTTCAATATTTAGTTTTTTTATATTTATTAAATTAAACAATTGGTTTTTATAAATGTTTAAAATTCCAAAATTATTCAAAATGCATTATCCTTATTATTTTTAATTAAATTAACTAGGCTTTATTTTATTTTTATTTTATTCCATAAAATTCACCAAAATACATAAGTAACTTGATTATTTTTTTTATTTATATACTCGAATTTTATTATGAGATTGTTAAACATGTTTGTTTCATTTGGTCATTTTTATATGTATTTTTAGTATAAGGGTAAACATTTTTATCAAGTAATCAATATTAAATATATTCACTTAAATATTAAAATATTAATTAAATGTATAAATCTAGAATGTAATTATTTTGATACCAGAAAATAATGTTTCACATTTTAGTAATTTTATTTTCCAATTTTCAGGGGAAAATTCATATTGAAATAGATTTTAGTGAAAATCGAAGTAGACTTGGAGTCCGTTTAAATGAAGCATGTGAATTAGCTATTACAAATGGAAACTGTGATCCTTTTGCTGATGTTACAGTTAGGTACACAAATGATAAAACAGAAAATCAGAGGACCAAAGTTAAGAAAAAGACTAATTCTCCTGTTTTTGATGAGGCATTTGCATTCTCTGTAAGCTCATTTTTTCAAATGTATTTATATTCATTTTTATATTGTCTAAACAAAATATCTCATATAGCTTCCTGGAATGGGTAGAATACATAAACAACATTTATCAAACCAAACACCTCCAGCTGATTGGGCAGAACTTATCGTTACCCTTTATCATGAAGTATCTAGTAGTAATACTGTATTTTTGGGTCAAGTAATTATTCCATTACAAGGAAGAACCGTTAGTGCATGGTAAATAACAACACTTAATAATTTAATTATAATAAAATTATTTTTTATAAATGTAATAAATAATCATAAATTATTAACACTTTATTATTTATAATAAGGTTTTGTGTATACATACATTTTATTTATAATTAATGAAGAAAATTTAATAACCATAATTTTCATCATCATTTCCTTAGCCTTTATGCCTACCTATTTGGGGTCTTCTCTACCTTACGAAGATTTAACAAGACTTTTATAACAGTTGTCAACTTGACACAAACTTATTATAACTTAGGGAACTAGTATGGGGCAGGGTGTGTGTCACTGTTAAAGTCCTATATTGTCACCCATCTAATTGTAAACAGTGTGACCGAATGATTCACTGTGCCAAATCATGCCCCTTAACCCTTTAGCAGGCAGTTGCCTATTTTTAACATTCATAGTCGCGTGGGAGTCTATCAGACCCCATTTCTAAAAAAGTATAAAATATGTATAAAAAAGTTCATTTTTTTAAATTCAAAGACATTATTTGTTACCATATGATATATAAAAATGAATTAAAATTAAAAATTAAATAAAATACAAAATTATGTGCATTACTAAAAATTATATTACGAAAAAAAAAAAATTTAATTTTCAAAATTTCATTAAAAAATTTTGGTTTGTAAAAAAATTATTTTAACTGTAAAATCTTATTTTTAAGACTGTAAACAAAAGCTTTTACTATTACAAAATGTATTTTAATTAATTTTTCTTGTATGTCTTTGAGCTCAAACACGGCTTATATTTATTAGTTTTATGTGTATTTACATTTATATAATCATTTTTCTGAATTGAATTTTTTTATTATTAATATTACAATACATTTAATAATTATGATACAAGTATATACACTTATTTGTTCGTAGTAGCACATCGATTAGCGATAATCAATGTGTCCACATTGCAATGCGACTTATTTATTACATGTTTTGTTCTTATTTGTTTGGTATCATCGAGTAGTGGAAATTCTAAATAGATAATTTATTTTTAAAACTTAATTGCACAATCTTAATTCCACAATATTATATCGATTATAACATTGAATTTACAATAAAACAATATTTTGAATAAAAATAAAAGTCCAAAAAAAAATTATAACGTTACAAGTCGCGTGGGAGTCAAATTGACCCATTTCAATTTTGATGAATATTTTAAGTCATACATTTTTTTTTCGAAGGTATTTATTTATGAAAATCGATTCAATATTACTATAAAAACCATCTTTTAAATTTATATCTATGTACACCCTTTATGCAATATAATACATCCGTTTTTATTTATGTGGGGGTATGCTAGACCCCCACGCAACTGTTTAAGGGTTAATAACCATAAGTTTACCATAAATAATTCTAATACTTTTATTTATACAAATTAACTGCTTAATCAAAATAAATCACTATTTTTCATTGTTTTACAAACCTACTAATTTTTATTAAAATTTGCATTAGTTATCTTAAGTAATCTATCTATTTAATTTTTCTTATATTAATACTTCTACTGGTTCTTTTTATAATTTAAAAATGGACTAAATTTAAAAACAAAGTTTCATAAGTTGTATAATAATAAATTATTTGTTATTCTAATGATTCATTAAAATATCTCATCCATACATATGATACATGTGGCAATCATTACATATGATTGTTGGGTATGGTGCCATTGTTATTATTTTTTCTCTAATAGCTAATAGTAAATATTTAAATAAATATAACTTTATTAATTAGGTACTTTTTGCAACCACGTAACCGAAAATCAAGTCTAAGAGAAGATCAGGGTTTTAATTATCCTAGTGTTGGTTCATTACGTTTAAAAATACATTACACTGCTGATCATGTTCTACCATCACATAATTATGAACGTCTAAAACACATGGTTATGAATAGCCATTCTGTACAAGTTAGTATTTTAAATATTTAATTATTAATAGGGTTTGGTACTATGCATTTATAAATTTTATTTTAGTTATCCCAAGTACATCAATGTTAATAAATACTTTTTAGCTTTGATGCGAAGCTGAGAAGGTATTGGTTTTACTATGATGTGTTTTTATTTTCTCAGCTCTTACCAAACCGATTTCTTTCACAAACGTCAAAAAATCTCAAATCGTATATAGTCTAAGACATTACCCTCAAAAATTGAAAAAAATTTCCTTTGTACCCCGTAAATGAGGGAAATCTCAAAAAAAATCGCCAATTTTCAACATTATTTCAATTTTTTTTACTTAAAACTGCCATATCTTTTTTAAAAATAACCAAATCAATATTATTTTATTTTTTTATATGCATAATATCTTTATCTTTTATTTGGTATATTTTTTTTATAAATCTGACTCTTTACCTGCCCACAAGGGGGGTTTTAAAATGACAACTTTTTCACAAAAAATTTACTTTTGAAAGTGTTCCTGAAAGTCTGATACTTTTATATATATCTTAAATTAAAACTAATGTTATGTACTTTATTATGGAATAAAAAAATGTCGGACTATATTTTGTTTTCACGGTGAAAATGGCTACCAAATGCTATTTTTGTGTGAAAATTCTCAATTTTATATTTTACATTTTTTACTTTAAAATGCTATAACTTATTAATAAGTGTATGGATCAACACAATTTTTTTATGAGAAATAATATTTATATCCCTTTTTTATTTGACAGAATTTATCTTAATCAAAATATTAATAAGGAAATAGCAGATCATGTAGCTTTTGGAATAATCCACCAATTTTTTTAAATTAAATACTATCTAAAGATTTGCATCAAAACGTTTTTTTATGGTGATTTTAATCACTATCAGATATCATTAAATTTTTTTTTTCTTATTTCTAATCAATGTATATTAATTAGAATTTTAGGTTTAAAGGACACATATATCTATATTTATGATATATGGCATATATACCTACAATAAACTTTCATGAAGTGAGATTTTTTAGATAAAAGTGATCCAAACAAATTGTATAAATGCATAAGGTTCCAAACTATAATTATTAATCATTTTATCATGAACCGCATGATAAATTGTGTTAACTATAAAAATTATATTTTAGCCAACTACAGCAAGTCTAGTGTATCTTTTGGGAGAAATAATTCCTAATATTTTAGATGTAGCCCAACCCTTAGTACGTGTTCTACTTCATCATGGGCAAATAGTACAGACAATCAGATCCCTTGCTGTATGGGAAATATCTAAAGTTACGTAAGTATCTTCTGATAACAAAAATTTTTTTCAAACTGGAATTATTTTCATTTTTTTTTTTTAGTGATGCAAATACTATATTTCGTGGTAATTCTTTGGTATCAAAAATGATGGATGAATCTATGCATGTAGCTGGAATGAGATATCTACATGAAACTCTTAGACCTCCATTAGAAAGATTGTTGTCAGAAAGAAGGCCGTGTGAAATTGATCCAGCACGAGTCAAAGATACTGCAGTTATTAGTCATAATTTGGCTAATTTAAAAGTAAAATATTATTTTTATAATTGATTAAGCTATTATAATGTTTATTATTAAACATAATCTTTAAAATATGATTAGATTTATGTAGAAGATGTATTTAAAGCTATTACTACTTCAGCTCTTAAATGTCCAACTGTTATGTGTCAATTATTTCACACACTTAAAGAAGTAGCCATAAAATTTTTTCCAGGTAATAAATTTTTGTTTCAAAGTATTGATACAATTAATTATTTGTATATATTTTCTTTTAGAAAACAAAGAAATCAAGTATTCCGTTGTATCTGGCTTCATATTTTTAAGATTTTTTGCACCTGCTATTTTAGGTCCCAGACTTTTTGATCTCACTAAAGAACAAATTGTGAGTTATTTTTACAAAAGCATTGATAAAAAATTACAATATATTTTTTTAACTTTTTAGGATAATCAAACAAATAGAACTCTAATATTAGTATCTAAAACAATCCAAAGTTTAGGTAACCTTGTTTGTTCACGATCAAATTTTAAAGAAGAATACATGTCTTCTATGTACCAAGCAGTATACACTGAACAACATGTTACTGCTGTTAGACAAGTATTAACCAAAATTATTAATAATATTAAAATTATTAACTAATACTAAATCATTTTTTTAGTTCTTAGAAATAATTTCTGCATCAGCTGGTCCTGCACAATGTACACAAGACACTCCTGTTACATTAAAAGAAGGGTAATTACTCAATCATTTTTTTATATTTTATTAACTACGTTCTTTTCTGGTGTCTAGTAAATACTTGTAAATCACTTATACTAATTGTCTATTTATTTTAGCTTTCTAAGGAAAATTACTTCTTGGTAAGTTTTAGATGAACAAAAATTTAATTGGAAAAATATGATAGTCCTAATTTCTTTTCATTTATTTTAAGAAGTAAACATAATCACTACTAAAATAGGCTTAGCTCCATAATTTTTTAAACATTTTAAATACAGAGTAGTCCATTTATCATTACCCATTCAATTAATATAATTATGAAAATAACTGGTTAATAAAAACTATTAAACCAGTACTTAAAAAATTACAAACATTTTTAAGTCTTAAAGAGAGAAATATCTCTAATGAGAGAAATAGTCATAATAAACTTCTCTCTTAGTCCACATTTCAAAATTGTTGTTATCAACTAAAAAAATAATTTCTAATATTGTATTTATTTTACTAGTAATTGAGGGGGTTAGGATAAACCGATCATTCTGTATTTTTTTATATGAATATTTATAAGGTAGAAGAAAAATTAATTTAGGATCCCAAAAATATTATTTTTGATTGCACCTGTAGAAGTAGTAACAATTTGTTGTTGCAGGATGTTAACAAAAAGGGCTCAAGGTAGAAAACGATTTGGTAGAAAAAATTTTAAGCAGCGATATTTTAAGTTGACTACTAGAGATTTATCATATGCAAAACAAAAAGGTTTGTATTAATTGAATAGTTAAATTTTCATCCTTATATTTATAAATATTTTTTTAATTTTAGGAAAAGAACCACTTTGTACCATTACTTTATCAGATATTTTGGCTGTAGAACGTCTTCAACAAGAATCATTTAACAAAAACAATATGTTTCAAATAATACAACCTGAAAGAGTACTCTATGTGCAAGCTAGTAATTGTGTTGAAGAAAAAGAATGGGTAGATTTACTTACTAAAATGTGTTTTTCCAATACTAAACGTCTCATGCTGTATCATCCAGCTGCATTTATAAATGGCATTTGGTTATGGTATGAAATTTTATTGCATTTTCCTTATTTATATTCTACATTTTTATATTTTAATTTAGTTGTAAATCTAACAATGAAAGAACCAAAGGATGCCATGAAGTTTCCACATCTGTTGATAATATCCAAACAAGTAGTGTTGATGTTGACAGAGAACTCTCTAGATTACATGCACTTTGTGTTACACATATTGATCGATTTGATAGTGTTTTAAGTAATATTTTTAGTTTATTTTAGTTTTTAATTTTTAAATTGTGTTTTTTTAATTCTAATTATATTAACTTATAGAAGCATGTGAATGTAAAACTGTATATCCAGGAGACAATAGATTGTGTCACCCTTTATTGATAGAAGACCCAAAAACTACTTTCAAAACTTTGTCGACACTACGAGATATAATTTATACATTAGAACAGGAGCATAGAACAGTTTTAAGAACAATAGCTAGAGAAACAAAATATGGTAGCAAGTGAGTAGGCATAATATATTATTAATTTTAATGTAAAATGACATATTTGATAATGTTATTAATCAACTTGTATATTTTAAAAATAAATAAATAAAAATTTTCTTAACTTTATTATTTCAGACAAGCCCCAATTGGAGATGACAATTATTTGCTTCTTGCTGGTCGCAAAGATTTGAGTGCCCATCATCACCAAAAAGTTTGGTAGCACAGGCTTAAAAGATCCCGTTCAATTTAAATGGGTAAATGTAACAAAAACACATTTTTAACACTTGCATATGTTTGTATAATAATTACTATAGACATATGTAAGTTATGGTTGTATTAAAATAATTCTACGTAACTTTTATTGAAACTTATTTGAAGCATAAATAATACTATTAATTTTATTATTTTAGGCCTATTCTTAAACTTATTAAATGACAATTTTCAAATTTTACAAAAAAAAAATTAACCCATTAAAATGGTGTTGTTATGACGTTTATAGTTTTATATACGCTTTTCCTTAACAAATAAAAAATTGTGCCAACAGTAATTAACACCCTTGTGTTCATATAATAGTANTTATATATATATATATATATATGTTATAAAATATTGTACATACGAGTGAATCGACTCCACATTCCCTTTGTTTTCTTTCTTCTTTGTAAAAATTATAATATCATATATTATGTACAGTATTTATTAATTGGAGAAAAAAATTCCAGTTATCTTTTTATCTACAGAGTCGATTGTATGTTTTTCTAACACCAACTATGTTGTGATTGTTTAATTTTTAATAACTGAAAACACCAAATTTTTGAATTAATGTTTAAGATACTTTTAAAAATGTTACTGTTCTCTAAAATGAAACAAAAAATTGTACTAATATAATATTAATGTTAGATGTGTTAATGTTTGAAAAATTCTTTGTTTTCAAGTCTTCCTTACTCTGATTAAACTGTATAATTTTTAGTTACCTCAATGAAAATTCAAATATGTAGTAGGTAATATTATTTTATAGTATTTAAATTGACATATGTTTAGTATGATATATACGTTGTGTGTAACAGATTAATTGTTACATAATTGTTTATTGCATGGTTTCTTTGAAATTATACATTTAATTATTATCATTTTAATAATACAAAATAAGATTATAAAGTTTATCCTGAAAGAAACACCATAACAATATTACAAATGCTATTAGTTATATGTTCTCGTGCTTTTTGTTTCCATGTAAAAAAAAATTTTAATAAATATAGTATTTAACAATTAACTATAATATTTTTAAATGTGTGAAACCAATTATTTTATATTAGTTAAAACAAATTTATTTTAAATTGTCATATTTTACTTATATTGATCTGAATTATTAGAGTCAAACATATAATTATTATTATTCATATTATATATTTTTCTTTTATATATTGCTACGTAAAATTAATTTTACTAAATCTAACAGTATATTAATTCGAAATTTATTGTAATTTATTAATACTGAATAACTAAGGACTGCATATATAAATTATATTGACTAAGTACCAGATAATGCCGCTCTATTACAAACCCATAATATTAAATATTATGGGTTTATTATTAGAGCTAAATAAATTTTATTTAGCTCTCAATTTTTTAAAAGTAATAAACAAAAATAAGGTCTTTAATGCATAAAACTCGCATGTATTTATAATTATAAATACATGCGAGTTTTAATCATTGGTGGGCATTAATTTTGTTTAAACTTTTCCACTTAACTAGTTAATTATTTTTCTAATTTTTAGCTTAACTAATTTAATTTTCCGTTGAAATAATTTAGTATTTTTCAGTTTAGTTAAAATAACAGTTAAGCTAAATTCAATATTTCATAAAAAAAATGTATGTCTTCATATGCTGCGTACGTGGTTTAATTAAATAAAAAATTGAAATTCCCCCCATCCCAATAATATATTTATAAACGATAAATATAATTTTCTGGTTTTGTTCAAAAATGTATATGATTTTTTTTAATAACTAGTTTTAAACATAAAACAGTGCAACCAACACAAAAATGTATAAAGGTCGAAACTACCAGTCATAGTATAAAAATTTGAGAAAAGGTTAAAGATAAGAAATGAGACATTGGTATCTAAAAACCAGTTTAGATGCCTGGTAAGTCAGCAATGGAGTCATTTTTTTATATGAGACAATTAATAGAAAAGTTTAGGGAAAAGGAGAAAAAGCTATGTATGGTATTTATAGATTTGAAGAAAGCGTATGATTGAGTATCACAAGGTTTTAAAGTGGGCATTAATGAGAAAATGGGGGTGGTTGAAGTGGAGAGAAGTGTCTGGTGTGTTATGCAATAAAATAATTCCAATGAGGTTGAAAGGTAAATTTTACAAGACTATTGTAAGACCAGCTATGTTGTATAGTTCAGAGTGTTGGGCGGTTGACAAGAAAGTAGAGCAGAGATGAGAATTCTTAGATGGATGAATAGAGTGACTAGAGAAGATGGGATAAGAAGCGAACATATACGAGGGAGTGTAGTTGTAACGCTAATTGTAGATAAGATGGAAGAAAGTTGACTTAGATGGTCTGGTCATGTTATGAGGAAAGAGGAAGCGGTAAAAACATTAATATAAATGAATGTCGAAGGAAGAAGAGGTATTAGAAGACCAAAAAAGAATTGGAGGGATGTAATTGGATGTGATATGAGGACGGCTGATGTGACCGTAGATCATGTGGGTGATCATGTCATGTAGAAGTTTAGAATAAGGGTGGCCGACTCCAAGTAGTTGGGATTAAGGCGAAAAAAAAGAAAAAGATTACCAGAAATTCCGGTGGCAATTGACATAATATGATTGTTGTGTGGGAATGTACAATTTAGCGTTTAGTTGGGTTTAAACAATAATTTATGGAAGGTGTTTAGTCCAAAATTTAATATTTTAATGAAAATAAAATAAACAAGTTTTGTATATTTTTTAACAATTTTAATTTTTAATTATCATATTTACTAAGTAGGTGAATACCATTTTTTAATTTATATTTTAATCAACAGCAATGATAATAATGTACGATTTTAATATTTTTATAATTAAATTAGTTATACATGTTAAGTATTCAAATACTGCGGGACGTGGTAAGAGCCTGCACGTGGCGTCCCCTGTATTACAATATTGAGTCTACACAAGAATATATATTGCGAACTAATCTTACTAACACCGGTGCTAGAATGCCTAGGCGTTCAAACTCAAAACGGCCCTTTTCAGGGCACCCCCCCTCCCCGCAGCATTTAAAGTGATGATACAAAATATAGAAGGTTTCTCAGTAATCAAAGGCGAACTTCTTGCAAACCTTTGTAAAAAAGAGAAATGCGACGTGTTATGTGTTCGAGGACCCACGAGGATGAGGTTAGCCCTTGTCCAAAAATACCAGGAATAAATCTAGTCATCGAGTTACCACATCCAAAATACGGAAGCGCAATATATTCCAAACCTGGACTGGTGGTTAAAAACGCAGCTACCAGCCACAGCAAACAAATCGAAATACTAACTATTGAGGTAGGCAACTGTACAATTATCTCAGTGTATAAACCGCCGAACACAGACTTCACCTTCGAAAAACCGATCAACTTCGACAACTGTGATACAAAAAAAATGGTTCTTGGTGATTTCAACGGCCAAAGTACCACATGGGGATATCTAGAAAACGACCAAAATGGAGAAAACGTGGAAAACTGGGCTGAAGCTGAAGTGTTGTCTCTTATCCATGACTCAAAACTTCCCCCGTCTTTCAATAGCGGCCGGTGAAAGAAGGGCTATAATCCAAACCTAATTTTTGTCAGTGACAAAATTGACGCACAAACCGTAAAAACGTATGCAATCCCATACCAAAGACTCAACATCGAGCCCTAATACTAAGCATAACAGAAGTAGTGAGATCACAAACAATACTATTTAAAAGACGATTCAACTTTAGAAAAGCGAAATAGGAAAAATGTAGAGAAACGCTAGATAAGGAAATATGGAATATAGACCCAAAGCCAGAGAACTATGAGGCATTCGTAGAAAAAATAAAAAAAAAGGTTTCTAGATTACAAATCCCACGATGCTGCAGGGAACGATATTTATGCGGAATGATGGAAGAAACCAGCAAAATAAAGAAGGAGTATGAAAAAATTTTTGCCACAGATCCGTTTAGCGATAAAATAATTATGATAGGAGAAACGTTAACGAAGATTTTATGTAAAGATAGAAATGACAGATGGTATGAACTCATAGATAACACAGATATGACAAAAAAAGCATGGCGACTTATCCAAGAAGCTTAATGGAGATTCCGTCACACATGAATGACATATGTAACAGCAAATCAAGTAACTACACAATTGCTTCTAAACGGAATATTAGACAAATCAAGAATTATAAATAAGAAAGATAAACTCACCAAATGCCGAGACAATGAGCAACATAGTTTCCAGCTTGATTTTCCTATTTCCGAATTAAATAAGAGCCTCAAAGAGATGAAATACGACAAAGCACCACGGCCGGATGAAATCATGACAGAACAGATAAAACAATTCGACACAAAAACAAAACGATGGCTGTTAAATTTCCTAAACTCTTGTCGCGATAAAGCATTGGTACCTAAAACATGGAGAAAGGCAAAGGTAGTGGCCCTGCCCAAACCAGGCAAAGACTACAAGAACCCTAAAAGCTACAGACCTATATCTCTATTTTACTATACATTTAAACTTTATGAACCGTATAAAAGAACAAATATAAAGAAAACTTATTGCCGAACAAGCAGATTTTAGACCGGGTAAATCCTGTACATGACAGGTACTAAACTTATTCCAACATATTGAGGATGGTTATGAGAACAAAAAAGTAACAGGAGTTGTTCTTGTAGATCTATCTGCAGCATATGATACGGTTAATCACAATATACTACCAAAAAGGATATATAAGTATACAAATGACTGGCACCTAGTACAAATAATATCTTCTATGCTACGTAATTGACGCTTTACAGTTACGCTGAATAATAAGTGGAGTAGATCAACGAAATGGCTTACCGCAGGATAGCGTACTGGCGCCAATGCTATTTAATATATACACCAATGACTAACCCATCACAGAAGAAACAAGGCACTTTCTATACGCAGACGACTTGGCTATAGTAGCACAGGACATAATATTCCAAGAAGTCGAATGAAAGCTTACAAAAACTCTCCAAGAATTAACAACGTATTATGCGAGAAACAATTTAACACCAACCCGGATAAGACACAAATATGCTGCTTCCACCTCCGAAATCGTGAGGTAAAAAGAGAGTTCAAAGTTCAGTGGCTTGGAAAAACACAGAACAACTAGTCTATCTAGGAGTTACATTAGACAGAACTCTAACGTTTAAGGAGCAATGTAGAAAAACAAAAATGAATGTCCAAACAAGGAATAATTTATTACGGAAACTAGCAGGCAGCAAGTGGAGTGCCACACCAAATACAATTCGAACTACAGGACTAGCACTGTGTTTCTCTACTGGAGAGTACGCATGTCCAGTGTGGAACCAGTCGAAACATGCTAAACACGTTGATACGGCACTGAATGAAACTTGTAGGTTGATAACTGGATGTCTCAAAGCGACGCCATTAAATTATATCTATCCATTAGCGAGGATTGTCCCGCCAGAAATACGGAGATACGTGGCCACATGTATTGAAAGAACAAAACAAAATACCGACCAAAGGCATCCTATGTATGGTGATTTAGACACCCAAAGGAGACTTAAATCAAGAAGAAGTTTTATTGCTAAAATAAACGTGATCCAGGAACTCCCCCCGACCAGATCCGATTACGTAAATGGAGAGAAGAACTACAAGCTGAAACACCTGTCCCACCTGATGAACGACTACCTCTAGGCGGAAACCAATCATGGCCCATATAGAAAACGATAAATAGGTTAAGAACCGGAGTAGCTAAGACAAGAGTCAACATGGTGAAATGGGGATACCTGACACTTGTGAATACGGCGAGAGGCAATCCGATGAACACCTAATAAAATGTACCCTTACTCCGCCAGGATGCACAACTGACGACTTGCCAATGAAACGCTATATCAATAGCTATTCACTGGCTGAAGCAAAATATTTTGCACTTTTATATTTTAAAAAATGCAGTTAGTATCTATTAAGTCCAGCACAGGACACGATAAGAAGAAAATTCAAATACTGGTATTACAGGTATAGTAACCCAATCTCTTATGTAAGACAGCAGCTACATTACTATCATACTACGGCTGAGATAAGTGTATTAAAAAAGGATTAGTTATGAATAAATAAATAATAAAGAAGATGATTCAACTTTAAAAGTTGAAAATAGATTTTTAGATTTCCCTTACATCACCAACCAATAAAAAATGATTTTAAGAAATTTTAGTCAAAAAATTAATCTAAAATGAAATAAACTATTTTTAAACTAATTAAGTTTAAAAAAAAATTCAACCTATCTCTTAACTTAGATATTTAAATCTGTAATTTGTTAACTTTTAACTGTTAATTTATCGACATTAATCAAACTTAACTTGAGTTAATTATTTCCATTAACTTGGTCATCTTTGCTACTAATAAGCTAAATATTTTCTATATTACCGTCCGGAAAAATTTATAAACTTATACCCCAACTAGGCGAAGTCTAGTTAATTATATTACGATGTTTTTTTTGTCTGTAACCACTTTTTTCATATCTCACCGGACCGATTTCTTTCAACGATACATAAAAAGATCAAAAATTGTATCTAGTTGATGAAAATCCTCTCAAAAATTAAACAAATTTCCTTGTTCCCTGTAAATGGTAAAAATCCCCCAAAAATTACGATTTTTAAATCGGTAATTTTTTAACTTTTTTTCTTAAAACTGTCATAATTTTTTGAAAAACAAATGAATCAAGACATTTTTTTTATAAATACCTTAGATGTTTATCTTTCATTTTGTATACATTTTTCGTAAATCTGATCCTTTTCATGTTAACAGAGGGGAATTCAAAATGACAACTTTTACATAAAAAGTAGAACTTATCAAACATATTTTTTGAAAATGTTCTGGAGATAATGCGTTTTTTAAAGATATGTTAAATTAAAGCTTATGTTACATACTATAAGACTTATAGTATGTGACATTATATGTTGTCTTGTATTAGATACGAAGTTCAAGGTCGACCTGTTGAGTGTTGTTGGGTTTTTGAGAATCCAAATGGATATAATGCCGAAGCATTATCACGAACTATTTTTGGTATAATTGATCCTCTTCTAGAAAAATCACCTAATTAATTAGTATTCAATCATATGATGGTGCAGCTGTTATGAGTGGCCAAAAAGCTGGTGTTAATGTGAAGAACACAAGAATCGTGTTGCTCGCCGATGAAGTTAAAATGATGTAACGGAATAAGTCCACCAGCTAAACACGACTTATACAGCTAATGCGGTACGGCAGCAACAACGGCTTCGTCGTAGTTATACTATGTTATATTTTAACGTAAAAATTATTCGTCATAGTACACACACATATAAACAGGGTCAATGCTGTTAACAATGAACGAACTTGTAGTAATGTCATGAAATATTACGTGTTTGGCACACATTCGATAGTTTTTATCAACGTTAAAAAACAACGTCTGGCGGAATGTGTCGTGGAACATATATACGGGGCATCCAGTATTTAAAAAATATTAACCCAATATTAACTTGCTGGCTGTAAGATCCCACGATGGATTTAGGGATGTACGCGCCGGTCAGTGAAATGCCGCAATAATCATTGCCGGAGACACAATCACGACGTGCTAGGGTATTCGGAGCCTGCTTTTGGCTCTTAATAAAACCTAATAGTTGGTCAAGTGTAACATCTTAGGGAGACGACGTCATAAACTGCATTTGGATACAGTCCCCAATAGATGCCGTGGGGGTTCGGTAGGTCAGATGTGACATCACCAGGGCGGACTGCATCTCTCTTGTGTTAACGGTATTCTTTGTCGGCACTGTAAGAACATTTATTACTATATTCTTACCAACTATATTATACACATTGTATTAATTTCTAATACATATTAATTAGCATAGAGAGAGATTCTGATGTGACAATTCTATTCGTTTGTAGTTTGGAGCTTCTGACTTCGAACTAACAAAGAACAGTTGAGTTCAAGTGGCCGCTGTAGCTTTCGATACCATTACTTTTGTCTTATTAAGTTAATAATTTAACGATTTGTCTATCGCTGACTGTCATCACAGCCAACCAACTCCATCTTATTTGGAGAATATACCTACTAACTAAGTGCACATGGTCAGATGTATTGTACATTATATATAGTTTATATTTACTGAACATTTAAAATACATCTTACGTTGCTGGTGACATAAAAAATAATAGTTTAAGTTTATTATATAATCTCCAACTAATTGCCTATTTCTCCTTCAGATAATTAAAACTCATTTATGGAGATAACATTTAGGCAGACGTCGGTTAGCTTCCGATTTATGGTCTTGATCACTCAGTACTAAACAGATCCCCAACAGTACCTTTAAGTGCCTGTACCCACTATTTATATACTTTTCTGAAATCATTATTTTACAACAATTTTTAAAAATTTATATGAACATATTAAATTGTTAATAATCCTTGTTGCTACAAGGCCAGTTAGTGGTTCGCTTTGCAATCATAAAAACAATGATCACCAGCCTAACGTGCTGTAGCATAGTGAACCCGTCTATCTCTAAACACGAGACATTTCAAATGAGTCTACTGTAAAATTTAGTACATAATATTTAACCTGTAAGGTGTTTCACCAAGGAATAACCAAACATTATATTTTAATTTCTATAAATTGTTAAAATTCTTTAAAAATGAATGTTAAGTACCGTTAAAAAAATACCACAGTTTCTTTAAGTGTTTTAAATAAAAAAATATAAAACTATTTTAATAATATTAACTATTGGCTATAAAAATATACTACATGTATCACCATATAAACCGCTAGCATTGAATAAATACACAAAGGCTAATTATTTCTTTAATTTCCGTTAGAAAACTTTTGTGGACCTTCTGAAAATCAAAAAAAACTAATTTTGTTATACTAAAATCATTTAAAGGGTAATAACCATTAGAAATGGACATCAGAAATGACATCGAAGTCGATCATGAACATAGAATTTTATCTAATTATGCTATATATGAAACCTCAATTGTATTCAGGTCTGGTAAAATTGACAGTGTTATCAAATCTGTAAGTAAAATTAAAAGAAAAATAGTACAAAATTTCATAAAAAAATTTTGAACGCTTTTTAGGCCATGGAGTTAAATTCATCTTATATTTTAAACGCTCCTGCCTTGTCATTAGAAGGTGGCGATAGTTTAGATATGACCACAGCTCATACTATCTTACATACCTTAAAAGAGGAATGTAATCCGGTAAAATTATCTTTACATACCATTGAAGAAATAAAATGTCCAGTAGTCGGTGAGAAATATTTATATATTGTAAATATACTGTTATAATAAATTTAAAGATCAATTTAATTTTAACAAATAGTTCAAAAGATTATTATTATAAAATTATTACTTCAATGTATTCAACAATTTAGGAGAACTTATAAAAAAATTTGACGAGTTTTATTATGATAAAAGTTTAAATTTGATAACAAATGGCGTACATAAAAGCACTGTGTCGAAAAAAACATTGGGTTATGGAGATCAATGTGACAAGAAGAATTCAGTATTAAATATTCAACCTAATCAAAAGGATGACTTAGAGGCCGTTAGTAACGAAAGCCCCATAAGGAACAAAACTAATTTGTTCTTGAGGAATGAAAATAGTTTTTCAGATGATAAGATTGTTTTGGAAAATATTTCATCTGATACTTTTAATGTATACCGTAAATTTCCATCTAGCACATCATCTCCAAAAGTCAGTAAGTAAAATTCAAATATTTCCATTTGATATATTTTTTTAATATTTACAATTTTAAAAAGACTGGTCTATTTACAAATTTAATTTTGTATTTTATTTATGTTTGAGTGTATATTACACTATTTAAATGTGTTGTTTAAAATACTCACACTTCAATTTAAGCTATTAAATTATTATTTCAACGTATTCAACAATTTAGAAGAACTTATAAAAAAATTTGACGAATTCTATTATGATAAAAGTTTAAATTTGATAACAAATGGCGTACATAAAAGCACTGTGTCAAAAAAAACATTGGGTTATGGAGATCAATGTGACAAGAAGAATTCAGTATTAAATATTCAACCTAATCAAAAGGATGACTTAGAGGCCGTTAGTAACGAAAGCCCCATAAGGAACAAAACTAATTTGTTCTTGAGGAATGGAAATCATTTTTCAGATGATAAGATTGTTTTGGAAAATATTTCATCTGATACTTTTAATATATACCGTAAATTTCCATCTAGCACATCATCTCCAAAAGTCAGTAAGTAAAATTCAAATATTTCCATCTGATATATTTTTTTAATATTTACAATTTTAAAAAGACTTGTCTAGTCACAAATTTACTTTTATATATTTGTGTTTGATATTGGGGGAAAAACAAGAGATACTTTTGTTATAGAATAGGTAGGGGGCGGTGCAACGTAGGCTTTGTATTGCAAGATAGTCGTAAACTGAACATCGAATGATAAGTCCGACGCACCTATGCGTACCTAAAGTTTTATTCGAATGTGAAATGTAAGTTATATCGTAAAAAAAATACAGTCCACATTATTAATAAAAAATAGTGATTTTTGTCAAATTTAAAATACTGTAAGCAACCGACCAATTTGAATCGATGTTACACTATTTAAATAAATTACATTACAAGTTTTTCTTAATTTTCAGACCTTTAAGAAAAATAATAATATTTTTTTTCTAAATATTAATTTTTTTTTTATCAGCATAAATCAATTTATGGAAAATTATCGTAGCTATAAACGCAATTGAAAATATTTATTCTATTAAATCTATTTAAATTATTACTTTAACCTATTTAAATTTCAGGAGAACTTATAAAAAAATTTGACAAATGCTTTTTTGATAAAAGTCCATCTCACACAGCATCTCCAAAAGTCAGTAAGTAAAATAAAAAATGTCCATCTAATATAATTTTTCAATATTTACATTTATTTTAAAAAGACTAGTCTAGTCATAAATTTACATTCACATTTTATTTATGTTTGATTGGTGATTACATATTTAAATGAGTTGTATTGAAATACTCACAATTCACTTGTTGCTATAAAATTATTATTTCAACGTATTCAACATTTTAGGAGAACTTATAAAAAGGTTTGACGAATTCTTTTATGATAAAAGTCAAAATTTGATAACAAATGGCGTTCGTAAAAGCACTGTTATGAAAAAGACATTGGGTCATAGAGATCAATGTGACAAGAAGAGGCCTCTTTTAAATATTTAACCAATAAATCAAACTATTCGATAAATCTAAACACATATTTTTTTATAAATTATCTTATTTATTAATTGAACTATTTATTCATTTTAAAACATCTTTTATCATTCATATGTTACACTCATTAGGTTATTGTTATAATTTATTTGTAATTGGCGTTGTGCATTTTTGAATTAATTAATAAATTATTTAAAGTGAATAATTATCGTTAGTATTTTTTTAAATATTGTAGATAGAGAATTATGTTAGGGTAATAATGTAGAAGATTATATTTTTTAGAAATAAGGTTTCTTTTAATTTTAAATATATTAATAATGAATCATAAAATGAGAGGATTACTATGTAGGTATAATAATTAATAGATCTCCAGTTTTTATATTAAACAGTTAATAACTTCTGAAATAGTGGTCCAATAGTTGTTCATTTTTTTAATTTTGTAAGTTATTTAAACATATATATATATATGGGTGTTTAAATAGTGATTCATAAGCAGTTTCTTTATTTTCCTTTGGTTAAGTAGCGAGAACTCGGGAGTAAATAACTGTTTAAACAGTTTATGCAGACATAATAATTTCTCCGTGAAAATTACAATACTAAATAATTAAATATCAATTTCATACTACATTTAATTTCTATAATAGATATTTATTCATATATAATACTTATAAATCATAGAACAAGAAAAAATTATAAATTAATTTTGCTTTTGGAATAATCGATTAATTTCTTAAAATTAAACATTATCTACAGATTTGCATTGAAGTATTTCTAATAATAGTGTTTTTAATCATTCTCAGACATCATCTATACTTATCCCAACTATGCCACGTCTACATTATACTATGACCTCATTGCGCCAGCTTATTTTTTATAAAATAGCTCTAACTATCTGAGAAATTATTAGCGTAAGCTAATCGCGGTTGCCCGACCGTCGTAAGCTTTAGAAGTCATGAGTCAAGTTTTACGAAAACGCTTACAGTCTCTAGTGTATTAATGTATGTTGAACCAATAATAAAAAAATGTATGTGCTATAATATGTGTAAATAACTATAAGTTAATTTTAATTTTACCCGTGATGTTTATAATTATCCATCGTACTTGAGATAAAAATGAATAAATACCTATTTATAGTGTTATATTTTATAAAATATTAATTTGAGATAATAAATAATATTTTGTTTCCTTTTCGAGTTTTTTAACTAATTATAAAACTAAAAATTATAAACAGATTTTTGTCAGTTAACTGAACGTCGAGGTACTATTTCATAATAAATAACTTTAAAAAAACAATTTTTTAGAAGAACGAAATATGCACTGTGAAATCGTATTTTTATATTTTATATTTTTACAAAATATAAACTTGAGATTTTCCTTATATATTTAAGGTGATAATTAAAATTACTCTCAAAAGTAATATAGTGATACTTATATTCTCCACCTATAAAGATTCTACGCATTCTTCGCAGTGGTGCACGAAAAACATTTTCAAGGGTAGTTTCACAACATATACGATTTAATTATCTTTTATTTAAACGCCATATAATAAAATGATTCCCTCCTAGTTTACTAAAATATAATAGATTCTTATAATATAAATAGTATTTTTATTTATGGTAATAAATTTTTGCACTCAAAGAGCATTTTTAAATACCTTTAGATAAACATTTCTAAGATAGTCTTACGTTTTTAATTGATAAAGGTTGGGTGTAAGTATATTTTCAAATTTACTTGATAAATTTATAGAGTAAATGTAAATGTTAATTTTTATAGCCGTCATATAATAATTAGAAAAAATACGTTAAAATAATTATGTATAACACCTGTCCGAAATAGTGTCATGATCTTTGACACTTCTTTAAACACGCTATTGTACAGGTGTCCTTATACATAATTTCTTTGGCTCAATAATAATTAAATTATTTTAACAATTTAAAAAGTTCAGTTTATTTATTTTAAAATTTTATATACAATTTTGATTCACAAGTAATTGTTCAAATATACAACCTCAGATCGATTTAAATTTATTAATTTAATTGAAGGAGTAAAGTAGAATTCATAAGATTATTAGCGATGATTAGACTAGGGTGGTTCTTATTTTTCGAAATTTCTTTCCATTTTTATTTTATTATTTATTACTACATTTTTATCAAAAAATGATAGTGCTGCATATTATGGTGTTAAATACGATAAATGGTTATAAAACTTTTTTACTGTTTACAAACTTTTCATCGATATCCTTACATACAAAAACGCTTTTTAAGAAACACGAGTAAAAAAATGGAGCTTTTATAACATTTGTTGCGATTATCCACGCTATAATATATACTACGCTATCATATATATTATATATACATATATAATATATATGATATATATATCGTAAACTGTTTAACTCCTGTTTTTTTATTTTTAATTGGCCTTGAAAAAGAAAAATTTTAACTTTATCCCAAGACTTTTAATACATATTTATATATATAAAAAAGATATAATGTACTTTTATAGTATTTCATTTTATTTTATATCATAAAATTTTAAAAATATTATTATTCATTAATTAAAAAAACTACATTTTTAAAATTTTTTATTTTTTACAAATTTTTAGAAAAACCTATTTTTTAAATTTCATTTTTTATGATTTATATCAACTAATACTTTTGTTCAATGCTATAAAATTCAACTTATGTAATTTATTTCCAAGTCAGTTTAAATCTGAAAAGGTTCTAATAAAGTGTTGAAACTTTTAAAGTAACAAAGTATAAAAAATAAGTTGTTTAATTATTTTTGTGTTATCAATTTATTGTTATCACGTGTAAAAAATTCAATGAATTATTATTAATAATATATCAAAATATTTGTCTTTAAGGTTTTTTTTTTTGTATTTAGACTTTTATTGAAAAAATCACTCGATAACTTCTAATATAGGTTTTATACCGTTTTATAAAATATTCTTAAAAAATTCGAGGTCAAAATCTTAAAATTCTGTGCGCCTTGATTTAAATTTTTCCAAATGATCTTAAATTTTCAGAATATTATTTTTTTATACTAAAGAAAAAAATAGAGGGGTGTTCCGAAAGAAATTTCGAAATTCGTAAAATAAGGCCACCCTAATGTAGACGTTGAATATAATAATACAGATTCAGAAAAAAATAATGGTAATATTATTAAGCATTAATGGTAAAGATAATCGTAAAATCATGATAAATAATGACAAAATGAAAAAAAATAGAATTAATAAAAGAAAATTGGAATTATGTAACAGAAAATATAAGAAAATTTTAGCATAGATGTTAATTTTTTAATTATGACTCCATAACTTGCACCTAAAAAAATTTATATTGATGACTACAATCAAGTAAATTATTTGTACGTAAAAGCTTTAATGATTGATTTCAATAAAGTTATACTAGAAACATGCAATAAATCCTACAATATATAAGACAGATAAAATAGAAAACTTTAGTATAAATACATTATATTAGTAAAAAAATTAATACAATGTATAATTAACACAATGATCAACTTAAAAATAAAAATTAAAAAAGACTTCAAATTTAAAAAGGATGCCAATAACCCTATATTGTAAACAAATTTTAAAAATCTCTTATTTAAAGTATTGATCTTATACGAATTTGAAGGTATAATTCGAGTTTTAATAAAATTGTTGACATAAAAATTTTAGAAAGAAAAATTCAACTTGTGTAACTAAATAAATACACTTATTAAAATCTAGGTAATGTCTTTTAGATACCTGTATATTTTACCCTATTGATAATCTAAGGGTAGCTCCAAAATTTGGAATTCAGAAGAGGTCGAACGGTGAAGATCCCCACTTCGACTTCTGATAATAAGTATTTTATATTCAGTTTGTAAATTACTTACAAAATAATATGCGCAAAAGCGTACTATATTAGTAACCAGTATTAGGTATGTAAGTATTGATTTAATGTAACTATTGGATACAAAAATAAGTCCTGTAAGTGTTTTTCAGTTCTTCATTAGATGATCATCTAATCATAAAAATGGATGGCTTACCTTTTATACCCGGATTTCGATTTTATGATAATACTGTAAGTGTATTAAATTAATTTTTTACTTATCAAATGTATACTGAACTAGTTTTTTAAATTTATTAAAATGTTACGATGTACAATATGTTTTTGGTAAGAATCCTACTCCAATATTTTGGTTAGATAATTATATTTTTAATGAAGTATCTAAAATTCAGTTTTATTAATTTTAATGACCTAAAATAAATATTAAATATATTGTAAAAAAAATAATTACTATAAAGTATTTTTTAGAGGAGACTTAAAAACTATATTTACAGTGGTCAACAAGGAACTTTCATCTGAGATAAACTACAGTGTAATTTTTTAAGTATACTTCCCTCATTATTCCATTAAATAATATTTTTTTCATGAAAATATATTGCAAGAGCGGCCTTAATTTTTGTGTTAAATTTTGTAGCCAAATTTTCTTTTAGAAGGATATTAGACAATACTAATCCTTAAATATATTATAATACTATACGTATATTGTGTACAATATGTATGGCAAAAGTCGTTCCTGATGTATATAGTATCATTGAAAACTGTTGTAAAATTTAAGTTTATAGTAAAGAAAAATATATTCCAAGGAAAAAATTTGATAGATCAATGACTAGTATCATTTATACTGGTTATTGATAGTAAAAGTATAATAATAGGTTCCATTACCTTTTTAGAAAGTTACCCCTAAAATCAACCTTTAAAATTATTTTTTTTTTACAATAAACCTGATACTTACAATGGATTATGGAAAAAAATGAATTATTTAACGAAAAAAAAGGGTAGTATACATAATAAAATTAATTTAAAAAAACAATTAAAAATGTATTTATTTTTTCAAATTAGTATTAATTTGTTAAAAAGTACGAAATGTCCAACCAAAATATCTTGTTCAACCTATTTTTTATTTATTTCAAGTTAATTTTTACTAAAATTTGAACTTTTTACGATAATTCTTTTTTTTACTCTTTCAAACTTATAAGCATGAAATTAGCATGATTTTATATCAAATTTTATGAGAATTGGAAAGTGTTAATATTTAACTTGATGTGAAGTCAGAAAACTGTATAATTTATGTGTAGTTATACAGTTTATCTAACAGTGAATTTTTTTGTGAAAAGATCAACATTTTGTAAAAGTCAGTATTTTTTTTTATTAATGTTGTAATGAATCATCGAAAAAACAGGTTAGTATGAAATCTTAATACATATCAGTAAATCTATATAGCTATATTAATACATTTTTAGTTTGTCTATTGGTAAATTTACTAAATTTATTTAAATTTAATTGTTTAAATAAGTTTATGTTACATAAACTACTCGTATTTAAACTACACATAAATTATAAAAGTTTCTGACTACGTAACAATTTAATTATTAACACTTATATAGTCCTTATAAAATTTTCAATATAATCACGCTAATTTCAAACTTGTAAGTTTGAGAGAATAAAAAATAAATCATTATAAAAAGTTCAAATTTTAGTAGAAATAACTTTAAAGAACTAAAAATTGATTAAACGAGATATTTTGAATCGAAATTTCGTACTTTTTAATATATTAACACTAATTTGAAAAAATAAATAAATTTTTAATTATTTATTTTATGTGCAATTACTTTTATTTTCTAAAGAGTCGTTATCTTAAAAACTAATGGCGATAAGAAAATCGAATTGCAGATTTAAAAACAGTGTTAAAAATTGATTTAGAAAAGTATAATGTTATCTCTGATATTAAAAATAAGTTTAATTTTGTTGATCAATGCTTTTTTTACATTAATAGATGAATAATACACTAGTTAATTTTAGGTATAGACGAGAGGCTCCCAACGTAGTATACTTAGAATCCTTATTTATCTACTATGTAGATATCATTACAACAAAAATAATTACGTCATTAAGATACAACTTTTTCATTTGAGACGAATAGTAAATATTTGTCTATGTTAATGACATCTTCTCCCCCTAAAAATGAGAAACCTTAATTATGCTACTGTACTTGACATTAAAAAAGTTTTACAATTAATAAAGGGTCTTGTAGAAAACATAATTGAAATTTCTACGAAAAAAAATATTTTATATCATCACTCAATTTATCTTAAGGTCATTACTGATCTTTAATAATACAATTTTTAATTTTTCTGTTAAAAGAAAAGAGATTATCATTTAAGTGCCCAATTTCATTGGAAAAATGGTTACGCAATTCCTAAAGAAAAATGTGTTGGTATTGGTAAATCTACTTTAGATGTGGATTCTATTTTACACGCAAAACCACAACAATTCAGAAGGTATAACAATTTTTGTCAATTTTGTCGCCATAAAATGAAAAGGCTCTAACGCAATTTATTTATTTTTTAAAAAATGCATCAAAAATTAATTGCATATCTTTTAAGCCATTGATTAAGTTGTTACACTAATTAATGTTAAGTTAAATTAATAATTTTAATTTTAAAAAGGTTTACTGAAAAGTCGTCTATTTTGCGTAAGAATCTTTTCATTTTCGGGTGGCTACTTAATTAACCAAATATCTAAACTGTGGTATTAATTTTCTACTATAAATTGTATAGCTATGATTCTACATTATTATACGGCAAATCGAAAGAACATTCAAAATCTGTTTTTCAACCACATTTTGTTTTGTATGATGGTAAATATCTGACTTTTGCAGGTTATACAATACAATTTACACCGGATTCATCTATTGACTCTTACAGAGTACGCCATGTAAAAGTTATATATTTTCTAGTGGATGACACTATTTCTGTTGTTGAACCTATAGTAGAGGTTAAGTATTTCTAATGTTTATTTTTAATATAACTATAAATATTTTTAGTTGAAACAGTAATATTGTCAATATCTTTAGAAAGAAGTTTTTTATTTTATATATTTTTCATTTTATTGAGAATATGAATTAAATAAATGTTTTATAAAACTTAATTTTAAATTATCTATTGAGGAAATTTTAGGGTAAGTGATTTAACAACAAAACTTTCAATAAATGCCTAAATAATTATAATTATTTTTGTTGATATTGAGTGTTTAACATATTTAAATTTCTGACAAAAAATAATTTTATTGATGTATTAATTGATCAATGGATTTTTTTGGACAGAATATTGGTTATTCTCAAGGGTGTCTATTAAAACGTGGTCCAATACCAAATTTAAATAAAAAAGAAAAAATGTGGCATTGGTCAGACTTAAACAATGGGGTTAAGGTGACATTTTATGGTGTTATATATAAGTTATGTAGTTGCAATAAGTACACAAGAGAATTTTTAACTAGACAAGGTGTCATAGTAGCTCCTGATGAACCTCTACTAGAAGATCCTTACATCACTACAAGATGTGAACAGATGCAACAAGAAATTAAATCAAAAAATAGCACTATGTTAACTAATATATCAAATCTTAATGAATCAATCGTTCCAGAAAAATTCAAACAATTCTTGAAATACGACGGCAAAATATTGAGGTATGTTAAACCTATAATTTTGAAAAGGTAGTAGTTAGATAGTAATGAGATAGTTAGACATGGTAAGACTATCAGATGCTTGCCCGTGTTAATTTTATATAAAAAAAAAAGCTGTTTTATAAGTAAAAGCACAGTAGTGATTTGTGTTATTTAATTTTAGTTTTATTACAATACTTGGTGGTAATTCAGTTAGTATTTAATTGGTATAAAATTATATATTATTAATTAATTTTGTATGGAGTATTTACTAATAAAAGTGATTTTGATAAAGATTTTATGCGATGTGGAATGAAGATAAAATTAATCCAAGCGAGAGAAAATTTTTTATTTTAATGTATTACCTAGCAAGTGACTCAGTAAAAATCTACGAATTCAATGAAAAAAACAAATGTAATAGAGATCTGTTTCCATTGTTTTTGAATAAAACAAAGTTAAAAAAAAATTGGAAAGCAACAATTCGTAAGTTGCTACTTAATGTTTAAAATATGTATTGAGAAAGCATTATTAAAGCGTTCTTTTATTTATATCTAATTAAAGGAAAAACTTACTTATTGATTTAAGATTTCCCGTTTAATTATTTTATTGATGATAATTTAACCAACAAATAATAATTTTTTAACAGAAAATTGATTTTCATTAAGACTTTTTTTATTTTCAGCCAACTTAGAAGATTATTATCAGCCGAAAGATTTTATTATTGGAAACTATATTTTAGTTATGGGAAGAAGGTATTATATTTTTTATTAGATAAATTTTTTGTATTTTACATTTGCCGAAAATATTGACATCAAACTTACAAAATATCATGTCTAAGACAAATATATATAGAAATGATTTTAGTATTTTCATTTTTTTTTTTTAGATTTTTATTGTATGACTGTGACACATTTACTCGAAATTATTATAAAAACACATTTGAAATCATTCAACCAAATTCTATTCAAGTAGAAAAACCTGTAACCCAATATTTTATTACACCAAAAATGGTAAACATATTTTCAATGGTAGTTATTTATTATTTTTCTTTTCGAAAAATATATTTAAAAATGTATGCAGATAGTTATTAAGTTTCAAAAGGACATAGTTTTTTATACTACTTTATTATTATATTACTTATGTTGACCTCTATCCTTTTCTCTGGAATATGCCCTTAATCTTTTAGTTATTAAATATTCAACATCCCTAATTTTTTTTTGAAAAAAATTCCACTCTTGATAAAAATATTATAAGTCTCTCCTTGTCAAGAAGGTGGACATGAAAAAGTTTGAAATTAAATAATGATCCTTTTGTAAAGTTCAAATAAGTCACTAATGGGATAATAATGTAACTTTTTACTTTAGATCATTCCACCTTATACGGGTATTGGTGACCCTGATGATACAAAACAGAACTGTTTATCACTAATACCAAAACCTCCAAAAACTATCAATTTTTTAACTTATACATCCAATTACAATAAAAAATTAAGATTCAAGCTCAAATTATTATCAGTCTACAAAGATGATAATTATCGAGAATTCATAATGACATTTTGTCTTGGGAACAATAATATGACAATTCAAGAAATATCACAGAAAAATAGTGGTTATACTAAAGGAAAATTTATGTCAGCCACACGTGTTCGAAAGCCTGGTACAACTGTAGATGATGATCAATACTATGGTCTAAAAGATTTTTTTATAGGTAACTTTTATTTAGATTTTAACTCAAATTTGTCAAATTAATATTTAATTTATATTATTAACCAAATTAGGAGCTGAAATAAATGTAAAAGGATTTATATTTCAAATAGTAGACGTAGATTTATGGACTTGTAATTTTATGATTAATAATCAATCTATGTTTACTCAAGAAGCCATAAATAGTGCTAAACAATATGTGGAAAAAGAAGAAATATTGTACAAAAAAAATGAAACTGAATCTATTGAAAATAATAAAATTTCTTCAAAATGTGGAAAAGAATTTAAAAATGAAAATTTAAATGTATAACTGAATAATAAAATTAATTTTAGAAACAGTGACAGGCAGAGCCACAGGGAAGACGGGAAATTTTCCAGTGGACTGCTATTTGTGTTTATACGTAATAGGTTTATATTAAAACTCTCCATGAGCCTTAATATTGAAACTAAGTCAATCCCAGTCCAACTATCCATAGAAAAAAGCCTGATGTTCCCTGCTATTGATAAGTTGACATTTTTTGGGTCTTTAGTTAACATATTTTAAGTCTTAAGCTAGAGTTATCAGATTTTTTTTACTTAGTCTATTGAATTTTACGGAGATTTATTTAATTTTCTCAACCTAAAAAATATTTTTAGATCATTACAATATTAATTTTAGTAATTTTTGTTAAATTTTAAAGAATCGAACTTATTCCCTAACCCTTTTCCTACATCTATGACACATACATATAAATATATTTAGTAATAAGGGGCCATATATTGTATAGTTTTCCAAGTCATTTTGACCCCAGTACGCTTTTTAGGAAATATAATGTTTAAATTACTATAATCTTAAGAAAATATTTTAAAAATTAATTAATATTATACTTTAAATTTAATTAAATAGTTTTTAATTCAATAAAGACAATTTTTTGTTTATTTTTAAAATTTAAGTAAAAAATTGGTTAACAAAAATAATATTAGTATTTTATAAAATGTTAATTAAGTTAATAAATATTATTAATATAAATTTATTTAAAATACTTATTATTTTTATAATTATAGTATAATCAATTGTTATATTAATTTTTTGGAATAATTTTTGGAGCTGGTACATTCAGTAGACTACAAATTTTATTTCTTTCTGTCCTAACTTTTTCTATATTGGATTCTTGCCAATCAAACTCTTCAAGTAATTCAGTAGCCTTAATAATATTATCTTCAGATACCTCAAACCTATCTGAGTAAACAATTAAAACTTCTATGAGTCGAGCTGCAACAACCTTTCTTAACCATGCAAACCGATGAGCCAAAAATATTGAAAGTTGAGTCGTAGCACGCAATCCAATTTGTCCAGGAACCTGATAAAAATTCCATATTTTTTAATAACCATGCAATTGGTTTAACATCAGAAAATGTTAATTACGTAATTATCTTGTATACAAGATTTTTAACCATATTCTGTCATCTTTAATAATTTTGATCTAATATTTTGTGAGTTACTAATGCCAATCTCAACAAAATCATGCCCCCACCTACATGTAGTGTAGCCTAGTCAATGGTTTCCACTTTGGGATCTGACTAACAGAAAAGGCCATGCCGTAATGTGATTCAACTCTTGTTTAAGTTTAAGTTGAAGCACAGCACAGCAGTGTGAGTTTGGAGACGATATAAGACCTGAGGTAATACCAAACGGTAGTTCCAGGATGTCTCATAAAAAGCCAGTTGGATAAAAAAACAAGAGTTTTTAGAAAAATGTTTAATAACTGCATTTTTAATATATTCGTGTCAATTTTAAAATTATTTAAAAGAAATACCTGAATTAAATGACACAATAGCTCAACACAAGATGTTAATTTGGTTGATGATTTTGTAGATACAGATTCCTTTTTAATCAGAGTCAAAATATTTGCAGCAAACTCTGATTCAGAACGTTCAAATTGGTTCTTAAAAGCTCCAGCTGTGGCTAATCTTTCAATAGATATTAAAACTGATTGCTGAATACGATCATCTACATCTACTTCGGCAATTTTACCGCTCCATACCGCTATTATATCATTACATAAAATTTCAAATTCAACTTCTGATACAGACTTCATGTGTTCTGTAAAATGATGACAAGCTTCTTTTACCTAACAAAAATGAATAATAAATTAAGAATAGAATAAAATTTTTTTTTTTTAATACATACAAGACTTTCAGAAACACCACCTACACATACAAGTAGACCAACCAATACAGAGTACTTGTACTCTGGCATACTGAGAAATTTGACCATGACAGAAAAAGAATCTGATTCAGTAAACCAATTAAACGATTCTTTCTTTCTAAATATTTTTTCTAATTCTGATCTGTGGGCCACATTAGGAACAACTTTGTTCTTTCTTCTATAACAAATTAAATGAATAATTAAGAATATTTTTTTTATTATCACTACTTTTACACAAACCTGTGTAATAAATTCGTAATAACCATGCAAGATAAACCTCTAATTTTATCTATTCTATCTACCCCTTGTCTTGCTAAAACACAAATGATTTTTTTTACAATATTATCATCAAGAACTTTAGAGTTTATATCTGCCAAATTTGAAACAATTACCTATTTCAAACATAATAAAAATTGTTAGTTAAATTGTAATTCTTTTTGCAGAATGTGCATGATCTAAAAAACATACTTCAAGACTACTTATAGCAGATTCTCGAACCCAAACTCCAATATCACCTCTATGGTCTATTGTATACTCTAAAGCACAACTCAATAAACATTGTAGAATCAAATTTGAATTTTCATCACAAATACTTTCATAACCTACAATTAATTTATTTACAGATTTGAAATTATTTTATTTAAAATAAAATTACATACAAGGTATTGCTATTAATTTTTTCCAAATTTTTGTAATAGCAATTATAGCATCTCGTCTAGACTCAGCCCACTTGATAGTCGGTCGAGAGATTTTTGTGCAATTGATAAGACCATTTAATATAACCAATATTTGTTTACTAAGAATAGAAGATGGAAGAGACCCTAAAGCTAAACTATATCCAATTCGGTCCATCATATGGTTTGAAGATAATTTTTTTACATATGTATTTACTATGATATCTGTTTCTGGTGAAGTCGGATCAAAATAATTATCAAACAGAACACCAATAGCTTCCACAGCCTTATTTCGTAAATCTAACATTTCATTAGTAATGCATTCCTCTAACAAAACTCTCCACTCATCTAATAAAAAAAACCTTATAATTTAAAATATGATAAAAAAAGATTCACTCATACTTAAAATTTGATTGTCAGTAACAATTAGTTTACTAGTTGAAATGAGTTTGATTAAATGACAACATGCCATTTTTACTAATTCACTACTTATGCCCTTTAATTTCCCATGATTTTTCAAATTAAGAACGAGATTAATAATTTTATTAAGTAAATTTTTTTCTAAATTAATATTTGGATCATAAGTATTGGAAATTCCATGTAGTACTTCTCCAACAGCCATTACACTTCCATGGCGTTTATTTATATTAGATGTTTCAGTTAATTTAAATAATTCCATAAAAACATAATCTTTAGATTTTTCAGTATTTAAAGCTACTAATTTTCCAAGTGCCTAAAAAAAAAATTTATTACAATAAAAAACAATTTAAAAGGAATATTTTACTACTTTAGCACTTAATTCACGAATTGATGTATCCCAATGAACAACTTTTTTTTCTAACAAGTGTTTTATTAGAAGAGTATCATATTCCTTATATTGTGCTACGAATACACTTATTTCCAAGTAAGCATGATTTCTCATACCAACTGAAAAATAATCAGCTGTAGTAACAATATCAATTCCATGAGGAAATGTACCTTGACGGCCAACATTTTCTTGAAAAGCTGCTGAAGCTGCTCTACGACATGTTAACTAAAATATTCAACAAATAATTACTCATTATTTAAAAACTTTTTAATTTTTACTTCTCTGTCAAAGCAGGATACTGCTAATAAAGCTCCAGCTATTTCTTCAACATACGGTTGAATATCATGAGAACTAAAAGCTCGTGCAAATGACCAGCATACATAACATGCTGCATCACGAATATGTGATCCAACTGATGTATAGCCTTTTGGTTCATCGTAAACTAGAGCTTTTAAAACAACAGGCACAACTAAATGTAAGTTTTCTTTTAATAATAAACCTCGACGACCTGAAATATAAATTGACTTCAATGATTTACATTGATATAGTGCCTGTCAAAGTGTACTGGGAATCATGTGATAAAAGAAGCACAGTATGGGATAAAAAAACTCTTAACTGAAGCGTTGTAAATACAAACCTTACAAATGTGCATGTATGACTCATTCCATTACATTTTCATATAAGTTGATAACGTAATAAGAGGTTGAATGAAACACGGTAACCATGTTAATATTATAGAAAAATAATTGTGTGACAATAGATGTAATAAGAAGGGTTAGTTTAGATTATTAAAATATCCCAAAGAAGTAGAGTACACATAGATAATAGAATAATATACATTTAAAAGTCAAAAAAGATAGTAGTTATTAATAGAGAAAAAAAAATACATCAGACATACATCATGTTTCCAATATAATTCAAATTTATAATGAACATATAGCCCATCTTAAAAACTAATTACTAACTTATAACTTATAATATTACAAAATTTATTTTAATCATTACAAATTCTCAGGAAAATAATTGGTAAGTTTAACAATTGTTCTTTTACCTAATTCAGCAAGAGCTAAACAACCACCATGCCAAGCATTGTCATTTTCATCTGGGCTTAACATGCTTAATACAGCATTGACAACTTCATTTCCATATGTTTTAGAAAGACGGCTAGTAATACGACCAATTCCTTTAGCTGCAGAGTACCTGATTTAAAGTAGAACTTACATTTAAAAAAAATAAATGTCTTTAAAATTAATTTCATATTATTTCAATACCTAACAATAATATCAGTATCTTTCAATCCTTCAATTAATTCTTGAATTATATCTTCTAAGATTAATGGAATATCATCATCATCATCTTCATAATCATCATTGACTGTTCGTTCTTCACTAATATCTAATTTTTGTGATTCAGTTTTTAACAAATTTTGTTCAAGAGATCTAGTTCCTCTATTATAACGCCAAGCAGCAACTCTGATTTTTAATAATGTTAATCCTTTGAAAATTCAAGCATAAAGAATTATGATTGTGAATTAAATAATTTTAGCTGAAAAAATATATTTTAAAGAAATAAGTTATTTTATATTCTAACCTGCTCTTTGAACAATTTTCATATAATATTTTCGAGTCAATCTTAATGAATCAGACTTACATTTTGATCTTGTTAGACAATCAAAAATTTCCTCAACAAAATGTTGAATATCTTCTCGCTTAGCAGCTTTAAAAATAGCAGCAATAGTACTCATTGCACCAAGCCTTTCCCAACGGGTGGCATTAATATCTAATATTTTCTAAAAGAAGTAAAACATTTTAAATTACTAATATTTTATCCAAATTTCTGTATATTATAAAAAAAATTAGAACTATTATTTAAATTATACGTTTATTTTTACCTGTTTAGCCCATTTCAAAAAATTTGGCAAATGAATTTCTTTAACATCAGATCTTATGAATAATCGTGTAGCTAGAACTGTAGCAGTATCTCTACAAGCATCTCCAGAACATAAATATTTCATTACAATTCTTACTAGTCTTAATAAAAATAAAATCATATTAATTAATAAAATATTATTAAAATTGTTACATAATTCAGTAAAATAAACCTTTGTAAAATAGATGAATCATCTGCTAGAATTGTTCCATCTAACTTTCTCATGTCAAAAGGTATAATTACAATAATTGAGAGCCATAACAACAGACAATAACGAGTTTCCCATGAATTATGATCGGCTTCATCTTGCTCCTCCAACATTTTTAATACTTTTTCCAAGTCGGACACCTTAGATACAAAAAATAAATAAATTAAATTTAGAAAAAATAACAACCACACTTACTTCATGAGGCAAATTTCGCAAAACAACTTTGTAGCCTCTAACACTAACAACTAAAAAGAGATATCGAAATGCTTTCTGTTTAAGTAATGTTGGTTGTGTTTCATCTCTTACAATAGATAACAATTTATCAAGTATTTCACATAAATATGGATCAATTAAGTGAGGTTGTTCTATGTATTGAGTTAAAATGTATTTCAGTTGTTCATAACTTTTTTCACTTTGACTATCATTAGAGTAAATTTCTGGAAGTTGATCAATAAGATCAAGGACATGTTTCCATTCAGTAAAAAATACTAAACAGCAACTTAATCCAATTCCTTCACTAGTATCCTCCAATGAATCAGATAAGTCACATGGCATCACCATTTTTAAAAACTAATTAAAAGTCTAAAACAATAAATAAAAAAATGAATGTTTAAGATTTACTTATTTTGAATAACACATATTTTTATTGAGACAAGCTATATTAACAGTCAGGAAAAAATAAATGTATAAACTATGTAATAAAATAATAGGCTTTCTATGCTATCATAGTCATTTAGTTAAGTTCTCCCATGGCCCAATATATATTATTTATATATATATTATAAAATTTGATTATATTATAACTAATATTTCATAAGATATATTATTAATACATATTCTCTTCTGTCAAACAAATTATTTTGTCAGTAAAAATATTATTTAAGTTAATATCATTTAATAAAAAATAAACATGTAACAATTTAAAGTTTTACAATTAATATTTTTAAATTACTTTCAAATACTAAATTTTGAATTTTCTAAGTTTTTTATACAAAACATTTATTATATAGATAACCATGGACTTCCATACAAGTATTTTTCAATGAGGGCCAGTTAACTTTCTGTATATTACATTATAAATAAATAAAATATGAATAAATTTTTATCAATATATAAAATTCTACAACAACATTTTTCATATTTTGTGAGATAGAACTTAAATAATGATATATTTTAATTACGTGTAAGCCAAAATATTAAAAATTAATTTACATGAATTAAAAATATTCATTTATCTTATTATTAATAACCAAATATTTTTTTTAACATAGTACTATTATCAGAAAATAATTTATAACAATTATATATTTTATATTTGCATGTTGAAATTTGTAAAAAGTGATCTTATGTCTTATATATATATCTAATTATTCATAAAAAATGATATATAATAATAATAATTATAATAATAATATATAATTTTTACTTTTTATAGTAAACAAATGATAATTCTTCAAGTTTCACATAATCTACAGAATAACATTTTAATGATTATTTACAAAACACATTGACTTCAAAGAATTAAAAAAAACCAACCAATTTAACAAATTCTTTTCAATAATGAAAAATTAATAAATTAAATTATTTTCCAACATATCTTAACAATTTACCGTTACTGAGAAATGATAAGACTCTTATCATAAGGTATCAAAAAAATTTAATAATTTGTTAAATTTAAATTATATACTTGTCAACTTTTTAATACTTACAAGTTATTAACGAATATATTTAAAATTAATACATTGAATAGATTAATATTGTAATTTAGATAACCTCAATAATATATTTTAATATCTTTCCTCCTTTTATTTTAGTTACTTAATGAAGGTAGAATAGTCTTTAAATTTGAAAAAATTCACCAAAACATTGTTTTACTGAATTTTTGATGTTCTTATCTATTAATACAAGTAAAAGTTTGTAGTTCTTTTGCATAAAATTGTATATTTTTTCATTTTTAGTCAATTGCTTTGCAATTGACTTCTGTATCTAAAATCGCATGAGTAAAATTTCAAGGCAATTCAGAATATATTATTTAAAATTACTTTTGAATGACACTTATTTTGTACTAAATAATCTACTATTCAGTTTTATAATTTTTAAACATTCTATTAAAAGAATCATTTGGTTCTTTTTAAAATATAAATTTAGATCAACTTTTTTTTTATTTTTTCAGTTAAAATATTAATAATTCACCAAGACGAACCTAAATAAATGTTATTGATAAGACACTTTATTGTATAAAGTGTCTTATTTTTAATAAAAAATTAAACTAGCAAACAGTTTTATATTTATCATAACAATCCACTAAAGTTATGTAAAGACAAACTATTTACATTATTAAACTATCAACAATGCTATAGCTTTTGCAATTTATTTCTTGAATAAAATGACATAAATTATACAATATTTTTAATATTATTTATATTCTATATTATCAATATTCATACAAAATAATTTTAATAATAAAAAAATTAATTAATTTAATAATTTATACAAAAAAATTAAATTCTCCAATAAAAATAAATAATAAAAAAAGATCACCAATGATATAAACAAATTTCATTAAATTTAATATTGAGATAAAGTAATGTTGCACAAACTATTGTCATTTAATGATCTGTTAAAAAATATTAAGGAATATTTTTTGAAAAATTATTAATTTACTTAAAATGCATTAAACAGTATATAATAAAAACATAATACATTTTATAATGTAATATATATTTTTACTATCTTGCATATATGTCTTATTGAAATTTAAAGTGAGAAGTGAAGGTGATATTTCACCCAATTATAAAGCAGAGATATGATAACTATTATTGCAATGTTACCTATGATTGACATGGACATGATAAGTATACTTATTTATAAACAATATGAATTTAGTTAGATAATCCTTTCACAGGTCAAAGGTATTGTCTGCTATAAATAGAATTTTATTTAGCACAATAATTTTTATATAAATATCATTACATTATTATAACCAAATAAAAATAGAAAATTTTCATTCTAACCCATATTAATGATTATGTATTAACCATGGCATTATTTATAAAACATACAGAGCGATTCTTTAATGAACACTAGCCACTCAATTTCTTTTAAAACAATAATTATTTTGTGATTTTTGGCTTTTATTATTTATATAAATGTTTATTATAAAATACTTTTTATATTCATGCCATGTGTCTTTAACGGGTATTAACTTTTTTTTTAGTAGCAACATACATATTTAACTAGCTTAAAATATAGAAAATTATGTAATTAAGAAAATGACTGGTTGATAATAAAACTTTTAAATTAGTATTTCAGAAGTTATTAACATATTAAAATTTATATTGAAGGTGAGATGTGAATTATGTTATTTTTATCATTTTTCAATTCTCTTTCATGCCACTCCTTCCACCCAGGTATAATAGTATTGATAATTTTTGTTATTCATCCACCTTAATGAAAGTAAATCAAATGACTTGGATGGTGAACATTTTACAAAAAATATTAAATAAAAGGTTTTGATAAAAAGGATACTGATCAGCCAACTGTTTTTCTTCTTCTTGTAAATGTAATTCTTGAAATTCTGTATCTATTTCTATAGTGTCTACTGTATTCGTAGGAATAAATGGTTTATAACACGGATATTGATTTGACCAAGTGTTTTCTAACTCATCTAATTTATCATTTATATCTGACTTATACTTTGCTATGAAATTGTAATCTTCTATCATTTCACTCCAGGCATTATTTTGTTCATAAATGGTAGATTCAATTATTTTCTGAATAATAAAAAACAAGTTAGATATAAATGAAAATTAAATCTACTTAACTGTATGATATTGGCTAGGGGGTCTATCTAATTTAGTCAGTAACACATCATGCTTTTGTATATGAGAAGCAAGGTTTGATTTTATTGCTCTGGGCTGTGTAAATTTTATATGTTCTCATTAGCATAAAAAACAGTTTTTTGAGAAGACATTTAATTTAGTTAAATAACAATAATAAGAAAGACGGTTTGGCTATATAGGTAACAGCAGTCTCGATACTCTTGTCTCTGGTCTAAGGCTCAGCTCATGAACCAGAGACTGTTTTTTGCAAGAAATAAGTCAAGTATTTGGTGTTATCGTTCCTTCTCTAGTTATATACATCCTATATATATAATTATATAGTCATCCTGGAATATATATGGTTAAGAAAGTTTTTCTTTAAAAAATGCTGTAATGGGTCTTAAAGCGAAAAAACTTCAAACAGCTATAAATAGTGACTGGCTTAACATGTAGCCTTGAAGTTTTATATTTAGTCTAAGTAATACTTAAGGATTAAGTATTCATAATTATTTTAATATTTTGTGTTCATTTTAAAATAGAACTTATGAACTCCTAAAATTTACTTTCAAACTTCAGTACCTCTTTGCTATTTTAGATGCGAGTATAAGAGAGGAATGTAATTTTTTTATAAAACTAAATAAATAAGAGAACATAAATGAATAAAGACAACTCTAAATTTTAAAATATATTGATTTAGGAGAGATTAAATCTATTAATTTAAATAATATAACTAATAAGTTAACCTTTTTTTCTTCAATATTGCCAACCATATCTTTTAACAATGATAAAATTTTCACGCCTTGGCTAGAATTATTTGAATAAATCATACCCATAGGATTTGCTACTTTAGCTTCTAATGTTTTAACCTGTAGATCAATTTTTTTTGCCATACAATGTAAGTCGTTGAAATTCATATTTCTAAAATGATTTGTCCTATTAAATAAAATAAACAATTACAATATTGACTTAACGAGTTATATATTTTTGTATAATTCTTAATTACAATAATATGAATGATTTCTTAAAACTAAATAAAATGTTTAAAACATTAAAAAAAAACTTATATGCATCATTTTATTACAGTATAGATGAGATCCTTCTTATTCAATTATTTTACGCTAATTATTTAAAACTTCCACATACTGTTATCTAACTTTAACTAAATTTTGGCGGTATATTAAAATATACCAATATGGTTACTAAATTCTTATCAATGGTTACTTATCAGTTTATTTCGGGTGCTAAATTCACGGACATTATTAAAATATATTACCTATGTATACACTTAACCGTGACCTACATTATAAAAATTGATAACAGTGTCATGAATGGCTTGTTTAAAAAATATTGATAAAAATATCCCATTAAATAATCATCACACAACTTATTATGTAAGAAATTTGTTACCTACTAAATTTAATTTATTTTATTTTTATTATTATAATAAAATATATAATATATAAATAAATACCATAATTTGATTATTTTAATTTTAAAATGTTTTTAAGTAAAATAACAAAAGGTTATTTAGTTTCTTTCAAACGAACACTATTCTTGACTCCAGGTATAATAACTTTTATTTTAAATATTAACTAATTTTTTTTTATGATGTATATTTATTTTTCAGTTAGAAAAAGTATAATTAAAATACAAGATCAAAATGATTTTAATAAATATGTTGTTAATAGTAAGGAACCTGTTATTGTAGATTTTTTCGCAACGTAAGTATATTTTTTTGTTTTAAACATATTATTTTTAATTTAAAGTTGGATTTATATTTTATTGTTCTTAAATTTTTCTATGAAACATAATAAAATATTTAATATTTCAGATAAAATTATTAGTGTCAGACAAATTTCCTTCATGTATACTATTTGTTAAGTAAAACATAATTTACATGATAATCAAGAATAAAGTATGATTATCTGTACTCCTTTTTATGAATGTAGGGATGTTTCTTTTTTAGTTAATAATATAATAGAAACTAACATAATTTTTTTAATTAATTAAAATATGAAAAAAATTAAATAACTAGAGTATAGAAATAAGTAGTGAAGTTTGGAGCACTTCCATAAATGTGTAATTGGCAAATTAAATAATATATTAATTAAAAAATTAGGATCAACACAATATCTTATTAATCTTAATAAAACATTTCATTAGTAGCTAAATTAGCAAACGTAACCAGAGAAAAATTGAAACAAAATATATTGTTGCTCTTCTATATTTTCTTGTAATTTAAGTTTTTTTAGTAAAATTAATCAATAAAAATCCAGCACAGGGGGGTCGCGGCACAGTGGTGACGTGGCATAGTTGGATCAAGTATAATGATATCTGATAGTGATTAAAATCACTATCAAAAATAAACGCTTCGATGCAAATCTTTAGATAGTGTTTAATTTTAAAAAAATTGGTGTTTTATTCCAAAAGCTACTTGATCTGCTGGTTCCTTATTAATATCTCGATTA